AAATATGTTGCAGCAATCAACTCCTACCAGCTTATTTCCAACTGGAGCCCATAAAAGGTATTGCACTTCCTCTGGAATGTGTGATGGTGTGACAAATTCCCTGAAAGATAAACACTCTTGGTTACTACACTGCTTATGGCCCTTGAAAACTGAATTTGTTAATTCATTTAAGTAGAATGTGCACTTTTTAAAATAAGAGCACATATGTCGAAAAGTGTGTGCAGGCCTGTAGAACAGTGGTCATGAAGATATTCGAGACAGAAGATTCCTAGGTCAAGGTTGGACCTACAAATATACATGGGAAAACTAATTTTTAAGTAATTAAAAATCCAGCTATTTATCTTGGCAAGTTTGCAAACAGTTTCAGGAAGAAAGAAAATAATGAAGAAGGTGTTCTGCACTAATCGGAACACAGTGCATCATATATTTTGTATCTTTCTGACACCAAGCTGTTTATCCGCTATAAGGGAGAGCGGCCGTATCAAGCACAGTCCCAAAGCCCCAGAATCAGAGACAAATGTAATTATCATGCAAGCAATCACAAACTGGAGGCACTGCAAATAAATGCTCGACACTTACGAAGTTTCCAGGTTGTAGAGAGAGTAAGAGGCTGTGAATGAGTGTCTCCATTGCTATGGAATCACAAACAAAGCTGTCAGCCACATGGGTATGCGCTAGTGGACTGTTTAAGCACTAATGCCAGTACAAAAATGTGCATCATTGTATCGATGTACTTACCTTTGTATAATTGCTCTCCAAACAAACATATTTGCGGTCAGCAGACATCAAATAGTCAGTGGCATCCACTTGTGCCTATTTAACATATAGTGCATATATAATAATATACTATAGTATGGGTAAAGTATAATAATATTAATATTAAAATCAATATTAATATTAATAATAATAAGATGCGTTGGCCTTTGCCAACATACCCAATTATTATTATTGTTGTTATTATTATATTATTATTATTAATAACAATAATAATAATAAACAGCTTACAAATGTTTTGTTGTTCAAAAATTCTGTGGCATTTCTTGTGTTGACATTGTGGAGAAAAACACTGCCTTCTCTTGTTTTATGTAGATATTCATTGTCTGTCAAAAATAATCATGTTAATAGATGAGATTTGGATGATGATTTAGATGAGAGCAGGCTAACGCTTCTTACACTGGTCACGCTCATTAAAGCACTGTCCTACCACATTACCTGATATCCATCGCAGATTGTACGTCTTATATCTGATGGTGTCATTGAAGTAGTCTTCGAGTGTGAAGGTTCTCTTGGAGTCCCTTTCACTGTCTTCTGAAGTAATAATAATAATACTTCACATATTACATGTCTTAACTAAATACCTCAAAATCACTCCCATCATCACTGCCATGCGGTAATAGATGAACCATTTGTAACACGGTCTAAAGAATATGCTTAATTCCAGCAGCCTGCTAGTGAAATAGGCCATCTTAAAAAAATATGCATTCGTAGCAGTATATGGTAATAAAATAATTGTTGTCGCTGTATGTACTAATAATATTTCAATAACTAAAAGCTGTCACTTGGTGGCGCCAAGTCAATATCACGCACCAGTGCAATCATTTGACAAATGCCTTGGGTCTGAACTAATTCTGCAATGTTGTTTTCTGGATTTAAACCGAGTTCGGTGGAAGTAACTACCTACAGTATGATTCATAATAATCCACTATCCACTATATTTAAGAAATTGCTAAAATTCTTGCAGTTCAAAATTACGTTCAGTTTGAAGTATTTTGTAAGTAAAGGTAAAGAGGATTGTACATGTCGGAACATGATCAGACTTAAGACTATAATTAAAATAATATAAAATCACCCAGGGCATGTCAGATAATGTTGAAATTTAGTTTCATTACCGGGTGTGTCATAGGTGTTATAGTCAAAACAGCTGAACATGAATTATTAACTGTAAGGATTACAATGGTAAATATAGATTATATAGGTACAAAGACCATACACTTACTGTTTGCAATTATTGTAGCAAGGATTGCTGTTAATGTGACGACGACAGCGACTCCAACGAACACAAGGAGCACTTTTCCACTGCTCTGAAGTTACGATTAATGCAAAAAAGAGATCAAAAAATAAACACTCACACACATTATAATCACAATTTCCCGTACGCGATGTAAGTAGGAGTATCTTCATGGTATAATAAAAACGACTGAATGCACTATGATTGCGGAGCAACATCTGAGTGAATTTAAACAAGTAAAACAAACTCGGGAAATTATTTATTTTCATTTTTAACACACAAGCTATTTACGGGGTCTATGCCAATAAAAAGGTTAAAAGACCAGGTACTGACCGGCATTACTGTACCGGGACGGTGGATATTCCCAGATGAAAAGACTTTTTAGTCCGATGGCGGAGAAGCCCGTGTTTCGCGATTGTTGGGCCGAAGAGTATTTTCTGCTTATGTAGTTAAGCCAACAAAACAGAGAAATGTACACCTTTGGAGTCCTGGACACGCATATCTTGACTTTAAAGCCGCACAATTCCGCCTCTTTGCCTGGTTATTTTAACTTGAAGCGACCGAACTTTTGAAAGCGTCCTGAGTTAATCAAACCCTCCGCAAGAAGACGACTCAAAAAACCCACGACAGACTGCTTAGAAATCCAGGGCCATCGATTTATTCTTATAGTTATTTATTGCAAGAATGATCAACTTACTAACAAAGCATTTTTTTTCTTTTCTAAAATGCATTTAGATGTATGTAAATTATGCTGGGTTATGGGGTCATATAAAAATGATTTAAAATAATTTTTATAAGTCCTGTTTCAACATGATTGTTATGGGATGGACTAAGTGGAATGGGCGTTTCTGAAAACCACAATATGCATGCTTGCATTTTACGTTATGTCCTGCCAGGTCACATCAATTCACAAAATGAAATCATTCAAATGACATGAGGATATAAGGTTGTACGTTGAAATATAAGTCCTTATAATACTCTTTATGGCATGAATTATGCTGCTAATTTCTTCGAGTCAGATACACCGTTTGCCGTCTATCGTACGTATAATGAAATTACTTAAATATAAAAACTGATCAGTACCCGCAGCCTAACGGTACACGGTGGGTGTACCTCCACAGCGACTCGAATACCTTGTGATGAGTATGATGGCGCGAGGCGTCTTTAGACGGGGGCATTTGGGGTCGAAGCCCCGTGTGAAATGTTTAGCAATCCTATTGGCTACAGAGGGGCGCCAACTTAACCAGCTGATTTCTCTTATGAGCCTGACATGCAACCATGTTCCAATAGGCCTACTTTATATATATAAAAAAAGGATTTTGTGTGTGTATTCAGTAGGCCTAAAGAGATTCAATTCTATTAGCATAATCAACAAGTTAAAGTTAATGAGATAAAAGAAATAATGTAATGTAATAAAGTGTTATGACTTGACACCTATTTTATAAGATATTATGGTATATATTCCCATGTAATTTCATATCCTATAAGAAATTAAAGAATGTAAATGTAGAAAACATGTACTCATGCAATGTATGTAAATTTAAAGATTATAGCTTTAGAAAGCATTTGCTATTGCACTGTGTGTTAATCAGCATGTAGTACTGCACCATCTGATATACAATGTATTTCTGCACTGTGCGTTAATCATATCAGTACAGTACTGTGCACTGAAGAAAGCGTACGTATTCAATATTTTACTGCACTGAGCATTCACCATATATGTATACTTAGGCACTTCAGAAAATAGATCAACAATGTAAAACTAAGTCCCTAGTATGGCAGAATCATGTGTAATCTTTAAATATATAAAAAACAGAATAGGGATGCAGTGGCAGAACAACTGTACACTGGGCCCTGGGGACGAAAATGGAATTTACACCTAGGGCCTGCATACGCCAGTTGCAGCATTTGCAGATGATGACATTGAAGTAGCTCCCAAAAATCATACCCAGCATGCACTGCAATAGTTAGCAAATTGAACAAACATGTCTGGGGCACATCTGCAGGATGCTCATCTTTGTTTGTACCTCTGTGGTTACAATACAGACTGACAGCTGAAGGACTTTGCAGGTGGCTGCTGATTGACTCAGAAGGGAAAACCATGACGATACATAATTATTCCATCCATCCAGTCCTATTCAGGGTTGTGGAGGGGATCTGGAGCCTATTCAGGAAACTATGAACTACCACATCATAAGGCACACTCATGCCTAGTGCTAATTTGGTAGCCTCAGCATGTTTTTGGACTGAGAGGGGTACCTGGAGGAGATCCCATGGTGACATGGGTAGAACATGGTAGAACCTCCACACAAATAGAACCCTGGCAGAGCCCAGTCACAGTGGTGTGAGGCAACTGTGCTAACCATGCTGCCTATGTAATTAATATTGTGTGAAATGATTTACTTAATTGGTTCATTATATAAAATGTTACACAACAGTGGGTTGGCCCTCTGTACTGGGTTATTTCCTACCTTGCGCCAGTAGGGGCCAGATGAGCTTGGAGGCGCCGGCGGTGATGCTCGCCTAGGGCCCGCGTGGGCTAGGAGGAGCCGGCGGTGATGCTCGCCTAGGGCCCGCGTGGGCAGGGAGGCGCAGGCGGTGATGCTCGCCTAGGGCCCGCGTGGGCAGGGAGGCGCAGGCGGTGATGCTCGCCTAGGGCCCGCGTGGGCAGGGAGGCGCCGGCGTTGATGCTCGCCTAGGGCCCGCGTGGGCAGGGAGGCGCAGGCGTTGATGCTCGCCTAGGGCCCGCGTGGGCAGGGAGGCGCAGGCGTTGATGCTCGCCTAGGGCCCGCGTGGGCAGGGAGGCGCCGGCGGTGATGCTCGCCTAGGGCCCATGTAGGCTAGGAGGCTCTGTTTCCATCAAATAGCCTATTATAACAACCACCCGTAATGGTTGAGACCCGGGTGCCTTTAGATCCTAGCAACGCTCCTTAGTAGGATCATCACACCATTAGCTTGTTCCCACACAAAGAAAAACACGCAGGAGCAGGTATTGCAACCAAATCACGTTTATTGTATAATTATTGATCTGTTTTTTTTTTCTTGGCCAGCACCAATTAATTCACTTTACTTAGTACCTAACACATAGTCAATGATTTATAATCAATGATTGATCAACCAAATAAAATCTTAAAAGTGTGAAATAACATCCTGTAATATGTCTCAATCTGCACCAACACATTCCAAGCGGTTCCAAAAGCTGTCCAAGTCACTCGGGTCCTTAGAACCCTCCAACCCTTCACCCGGCTCCTGACTACATGGCCGATGTTCTCATTACTTGAAATTTCTGAATGCAATACATTTTCATCATAACCCATGTATGCAAATGTTAAATCAACCTGACAGCAGATCTGAGGAAATCTGGCAACCGGTGGCTTGCTGGCGGTCAACCACTCCTGACACATCCAGATGCCGTGCATTTGCTTTGGAACGTCAAGTGACATTTCTTAAAGAAACGAGATAAAAAAAATTAAAAAAAAGTTATGTATCCAGTCTTGACTCCACCCTGTTCATTTCTCTTAGCATTTCACACTGCGTCTAATCGTCAGAGTCAGAGTCGCCGGCAACCAGGTGAGCGTGTTCCGCATAGTCGAAGGCAGGGAAACTGACGGCCACCTCTCTCCAGTTGTGGAACACTCTCTGTCTGTCCCCAAGCTTCACAGTAAAGTGTTTAATGTGGAGACAAGGGCAGTCGATCCCCCGGTACAGCATCATAGAGCCCCACGTCTAGGCAGGAAAAAAAAGACCTTTAGAGGCTTTCAACAGTGGTAGGTTTGGTAACCTTTCTGTTAAGCTCTTCTGAAAATTACTTGTATGGGACAACTCAATACTCAGGAAGTACCCATTAATTAATTAATTAATCAGAAAAAAAGTCAAAAGTAGTAACAGTTTTACCGAATACATATAATGTTGGGGTGACATTGATATTTAATTATTTTTATGCACCATTACATATTGAACTCAAATGTAATTCAAATTCAATTCAAATTTATTCATATATGTAGTCAAGGACAGTAGTGGCAAATGGATTCTGAGGAAACACTTCAGGTTTAAACTTACAGATCCACAGTCTTTGCAAGCAATGGCACTGTTTGCTTCGAAGTCCAGTTGTCTTTCCTGTAGTGTTGGGTTCTTTCGGACTGTAAACAAATCCCTATAAATACAGAGTTTGGAATTATTATGAACTGCTGTAGGTTGTCTGGCTGGTGTATTTTGTATTTTAATTTGTTTAATTCAGAACTTTTGAGAGACCCACCTGAATTCTTCTGACACGTTCACATGGTGCATGGTTCCTATGATTTCAATATCTTTCCCAGAACAGACTGATTTGCTGCAGTTTCGACAGCTGAAACTCACGTCACCAGGATCTAGTTTCTGCATTAATTTTTGTTGCTTCTTTTTCTTGCGAACTTTTTTTTCCAATATTGTCTGGAACTGAAATTCCCTTTTCTAACCAAGAAACAGAACACATTTTTTCACCGTTAGACAAATGTGAGAGTATCGACAATAATTTATAAATGCATGAGTACATAGTTTACTTATACAGCTCAGGAAAAAAATAAGAGTCAACTTAAAAAAAAAATCTGCATTGTTAAATCCCGGTTTAATCCTGGTTCTGCTGGCAGAGGCTACACTGAGCATCAGGCTGCTTCCAGGCTTAAAGTTTCTAAGCCAGCAGTACACAAGAACAAGGCGAAGCAGGGGACACTGGCAATGACCAAAAACCAGCCAGGTAAAGGGAAGAAGTGACTTTATAATGCCGAAGATGATATTAACTTATCCAACAGTTTCTCATGAATCGTAGGATGACATCAAGTGACCTTCAAAAGGAATGGGAAACATTAAGTGCAGGTGTAAAATCCCGTAAAGCATGGAAGAAGCCCTTCATTAATGGTGCCAGGCTGGGGTTTGCATAAAAAATGTGTTTTACATAGGCGTATACCCATAAATTGAGAAATGAGTGAAGCAAAAATTGTGCTGTGGTCTCTTAATTTTTCCCAGAGCTGTATATACACCCAGTGGCCACTTTATTAGATACATCCAGCATCCGGCTACTTTTGCCTCCAGAACTGCTTTAAGAATAGATGAATTGTGCATTCAGACAAGGGTTTAGGTTAGGTTTCAACACTGCCAGGGACCAAATCAGCCCCCAGCCCCCAACCCCCCTAAACACACTATTACTCCTACAATATCAGTAGGCACATGTGCCTACCGTCCACACCCAAATCCACGCCCTTGCATTCACAGAAGCCTTTCTGCACACCACTGTTGAACTGAGCTATTATTTGGTGCTTGTGGTCTTGGTATTAGCTTTCACGACTTCTGCACAGACCTCTCTCATTAACATAGTGGTCTTGGCCACAGAAATGCAATTGACTTGCTGTTTTTTGTTCATCACACCATTACCTGTAAATTCTAGACGCTGCACTGTACAAACATCCCTAGGGGGGTGGCTATTTTTCAGATGCTGGAACCATGATGTCTGGCACCAACAGTCACATAATTTACAAAACTGCTTGGATAATGCACCATAGCCATTTGCTGCTTAACCACACAGTAAGTGAACCTCTCAGCCTTGTCAACAAGCAGGATAGATAAACTGCCCACTGAGTTGACATGTACTCTATATAGCCAAAAATATCTCATTCAATATGAAGTTTGTCCATTCTTAATAACCTCTGCTCTTCTAGGAAGGCTGCCCATTAGATTTTGGAACATAGCAGGTGGGATTTGTTGCCATTCAGGTTGGGTATTGATGTTGCGTGTTCAGGTTTCTTTCTGTGAGCTCACGTGGCCAAAGACTTCACAACTGAACACTTCCCAGATGTTCTGACCTTCACAATCATTTCACTTACGGTTGACCAGGGCAGCTCTAGCGGGACAGAAAAGTGGTGACGGGACTTGTTGGAAAGATGGCGTCCTACGATGGTGCCAAGTGGAAATTTTTGTGCAACCACCCATTCTGCTGCTAATGTTTGTTGCAGGAGATTGTGTGTTATAGGTGTAACTTAAATAAGCAATTCCACTAATTAATAGGGAGTGTCCACATACTTTTGGCTATATAATGAAACAATGTCATTCAGGATAATAAAACTCTTCTGATTCTGCTTCTGATAATCCAGTATCAGCTTACACACCATGCAGTTTCAGAGCGTACCTTTCTCTCATATTCCGCTTGATCTAATTTCTGGATCTTCTCGATGGCTTTGCCCATCATTTTCTCCCGAAACTCATTCACAGTTTCCCGCTCAGCCACCCCAGATCCTTCTACTTGCAGCACAGTGTAGCTGCTGTCCTCTGCTCTTCCACGCCCTCTGGCCTGAAGATTACGTGAAGCACAATAAACATAATATATAAAACCTCATAATTGACAATATTATACCCAATTCATTGTGGTGATAAGTTGCTGAACTGAAACTGACAATCATATAATGTTTTTTTCACAACAGTATTTTTGTTTATTTTGCTTTTCATATACCGTCTAATACTTCAGAAGAAGAAGACAATCAAAAGATCTCTGTATACCCTATTGTTTTGTGTTAATGGAAAGTGAAGCCATGGGATAAAGCTTTAATGAACTTTGAAACGGACAATATCTTCCCTATAAGATGCTGAATGGATTTTAATAATAGAGTCCAAATACTCCAGTTTTTGGTTAAGGTTGAAATGGGAGGTACTTGTCCTAAAGGTTTTTTTTGGCAGCACTTCATTGGCTTTGTGTTAGATCACTCACCTGAATCATGGCGATCTCATTGGTGACCAGGCAGTAACGGATGACCAAATTACACTGCTTGTAATCCAAGCCCTCTTCGGCGACGGTTGTTGCGATTAGTAAGTTGATCTCGCCTGTACGGAACTTCGCCAAAACTTCCTTTTGCTCTTTCTGTTCAATAGAGAACCACAGTGACAAAGAAGTGAAAATAATACCGTGTTTACTTCCACTGTTGCCTTTTGAATGTTTTACTGATTTGACTCACAGGAGTCATCGGTTTCACGATGCTCTGGTCTCCCCCTCCAATCAGGTGGCCGGCTCGTACTCCGACCTCCTCAAACTTCCTGTTCTCCTGGATCCACTGGCTCAGGGCAATGGCGCTGAGGCGTGTCTTGGTGAAAACGATGCCACTTGCCTCTTCTCTGGCAGTGAACTCCTGCAGGATGAGTCTCCTCAGCTCAGCGAGGATTTTATTTTCGTACTCAGGGTGCTTTGCCAGCTCTTGCAGCTTTGCCTGGTTATCTTGACGCAACACAAAACAAGACGACATTTATGGCAAACAGCCGGGAACGAGTCATGTCCATGGTGTCGACAAAGGGCCAAGGTTCACCGGGAAACGTGCCGCCGTTAGAGGAATACCTTTGAACAACTGGAAGAGGAACCTGTCCGTGTCTGTGATTTGGACGGACACCTCATCTGGAGCCGTCTTCTTCTCGAGCTCCTCATTGTAGAACTTCTCGAGGAAGCTGCAGGCGTCCGACATCCGTATGGTGTTGCTCTGGTGGAGGGCTTCATTGTACTGCCGGAGGTGTGCGGCGCAAACCCGCACTTTCTGGTTTTCCTCTTTGGCCGCTGCGAGGGGCAATGATGACAGGTCTTCAGTAGCCTGGTTACCATGTATACGTAGTATATGAGCTACTGTGTGAATAAAATTTGTTCTTGTGACAGAGAACAGATCTGAGAGTCAAAGGGGATTGGGTAGATGGGGGCCCCCCAGGATACGATGGGTGCAGAGGAGAAAAACACAAACCAACAAGAACTAGACCACTACTCCAGAACTCTCTTCCTCTACACACTTCCACAATACAGCTATCAACTTATATCATGTGAACAGAGGGGCATTTCTCCATGACTCTACCTCTCCCTGCATCTCACACACTGGAAATCGAGGTTCAAAGTGTAACAAAAACACTTATAAAGCCATTGCATAGATCACAACAGATCACAGATCTTTCCTGCCATATATACCCACCATTCTTCTCTTTCTGGACCACCCAATGCTCATAGTTCTGGGTACCCAGGTCACAGGAAGGGTCCAGGTTGGCATGTGTGTGGATGGCATTCATGATTCCTTTAATGACATCACCAAATGGGTCCTGAAATGCACAGGGAAAGGGCTCTCAGAAATACTGCACGTGCCTGCAGTGCACCTCGCCTACCAGTGTGGAACTACAGGGCCACATAGCTATTGAGAAATGAGACCCATGTGACCTTATAATCGTTCCTATTCTGGTTTAAATGTGATACAGTGGGGTGTAAATATGACATAACACTATGAAAATTCCATTCATCCCGATTCTGCTACATTTTTACTGTAGAGGCATGAAAAGTAGCACAGAAGAATGATGGGAAATAAAAGCTGTTGTCTAATGTCAACCTTGTAGTTAGATGCAGGGGGCCTTTTGGAAGAGCCCAAAGGTCAAGGGTGGCCAATCTTACCCGCAAAGGGCTGGTGTGTATGTAGGTTTTTGGGATAACCTGTAGGTCAGCTGTTCAAACCCAGGGGTGAGGACTCTTCAGCCAATCAATCCTCTAATTAGTAATCTAATTAGGGAGTTGCAGCGAAAACTAGCATACACACCGGCCCTTTGCGGATAAGACTGGCCACCCCTGCCATAGGTTTTCCTAGAGGAGGGTGCAGTCTACATTCCTGATGTCAAGATTACATCTGAGGAGATGGGAGTGAAGACAGCCAGTTGTGGACAGCAGCAGCGAGGCAGTGACCAGCGAAACGTAAACACTGCCGCGGGCGGAGATACCTCTTTCCTTTCTGCAGCGGTCGCAATTCTCTTGTATGGCTCCTTCCTATGTTCTCCCAGGGAGCTGGTCATGATTCGGAATGCGTCCAAATTGGCACATATCTGCCGATAAATGGAGCGCGTGAGAAACACTCTCGCACTAAGCTAGCGGACCATGGATGGTGCCCCATCTTTACTGCCCCAACAGATCTATGCATCCACTGCTTCTGGCACCACGTTGGTCCTTAGAAACTGTCAGATGTTGGTCAGCTGGTGCCGTATTTGTCCAGTTCTCTTACAGTAAAGGGTGGTTATGAAACTGTTTTGGCATTAGCTTGGGAGAGGAGGGTGGAAAAAAAGATTTAATACAAGAAGCAGCGTTGCATAACTGATTTTTGTTGGGTGTTTATTTAAACTGTTTTCTTGTCTCCTTCTATTTGTTATTTGTACTTTATGAACAATCTACCAACTAGACTCAAGGCCTGTATGGAGTTACTCAGCACTTAAATCCTGTAAAAAATGTGCTAAATAAGCGATGTTTGATATTCGACACTTGGCTTCAGGGAACTGTGGGCACTATGTGGTTTATGGCTCAGCGGAACTGCAGGAGACAGGCAGAGAACCAGTAGGTGTGTGGGTTTTGCTGGGGTGGGGGTAAGCAGAGTATAGAAGTATAGACTTAATGAGACAGGAAATGAGGTTATGGGGGCAAGGGAGTGAATGACTGAGGGGACAAAAAAAAGGGGGGGGGGACTGAGGGTTGGGGGGATGGGGGTAGGAATGAGTGTGCAGGGGAGAGAGAGAAGTATACAGGATGGGTAGAAGTGAGAATGAGAGGTGGAATAAGTGATGGAGAGAATGAGAGAAGGAATGTTGTGGGGCCAATAGCAGAGGGAGGGATTCACTTGGAGAATGTGCTCCTCAGCTTTGTCTACGGTTTTGGCTTCGCCGACGCCGGGCGAGGCCGTGAGCCCCAGGATCTGCGGGAGGGGCACCGGGGCGTTCTGCTCCTTCACGAGCTTCTCGTTCTGGATCTTCTGCTTCAGGTAGCGGAACATGATCAGGCTGTAGACGTTGCCCTTCTGCGTGTGGTGGCACTCGTCGATCACGGCCATGGAGAAATCTGCGAAGGCAGCAAGAAGACAGCGGTGACTGGATGGCCGTAGACCCGAGGGAGTAGCTTGGAGATGCTGCAATCTGTAGCATTAGATAACAGTTCACTTGTAGCGGAGGGACAGATGCATTGTTTTAGTAGTAATGGAAGGCAAACCTCTGTGGAAAAACTCCATATAATTGCCAGCACTGGAAGAACAGGAGACATGAAGATCTGATGCTTGTCATGAAGATCTGATGCTTTCTGAGCAAACATATTCAATGTTTTTCACAATGTTCTACAATTTAGAGCAAACCCACTGTACAGACTTTACTGTATAGACTTATAGACGTGGTAATTGTTAAACAATGGTTCTTTTAAAAATATTTAGGCTTCAAACAAATAGTTATGCTTTTTAAAAAATACAAATGTCAGATTTTTTAAAGGAGGTCTGCTTGGGACTTTTGAACAAACTGTACCAAGTTTGACTGTCCAAGGCCTAGCAAAATTTTGACAGATGTAGCATTTGGATTCATGTCATTGCCAGCAGTTCTTGAAGCACAGTTTTAAAATATATATATTCCCTGGAGACCATCCCTCGAAACAAGGGTAGGGAAGAATGCAAATTGAGTTTCATTTCCTGGTAGATGTTCAAGCGGCACATTTCCAAACATCAGTCCCAGGGGCAAGGGTGGAAAAAACAGTCAGAGCTGAAGCATTCACTCTCCCGCTTGGCCAGTGACACAGTCTCCCATGTGAATTGCGCCGGCCTCACACTGATGACTTGAACAGAAGTGGGGTCTGGGTGTTTTAACGAACAGCACATGTTACGGCTGATGGGAATTCCACTCTGGACTGGATACTGCCAGCACGACCGACCAACTGGGAGAACTGATGGGTTCTGACAGAAATGCAGCCTGTCGAATGTGGGGGGTGGGGGGGAGTTCTGTCTTACCCTTTCATCTGTGTATGTACCTTCCCACACTTCACACGGACGTCACATTGTGGGTAATGGGGACAGAATTAAAGGACACTATACACTGGGTGCTTCATGACTGCTCCGTTTCCTACCAGAAAGACTTATTCTTACACTCAGAATACAGTGTTACAAATTACACTTTACCTTTACTGCCATCAGCATTATATAAAAACCAAAACTGTTGCATTGGAAGATGCATGGTGGTAAATATTCTTGGTTCCACTTTACAATAAGGCTACCCATATAAAGGGTTTATGAATGGTTTATAATCTGGTCATTAATTCTTAATTAATAATTCACTTTGCAAATTATTAGTTATAACAGTTTTCTTTTTATTAATAAGTTTACCATTTACACGTGGCAAAAGGGAGCTTTATTGTAAGGTGGGACCATATTCTCTGTAATAGCTTCTGAATTTCTTGAGTACATGTAGAAGCCACATTTTGTTCTAGAGCACATTACTGCAGCCCAATTCTCTCTCTCTCTCAAACACAACACATTTTTACATGTGAAGTATCATAAAATTCCCCAAATTCCAGCTCGAGTCCTCTGGTGCAGTGGGCAATTTCATCTTAGTCAAGGGACTTCATTTAGCCTTCTGTGTCTGATTATGTCCATCTGGGCAAGAGCAGAGTAATATACCTGAACGACTGCATTGGACAGATGATGTATATTACCTGACAGGGTAACTCCTTCATCTCTGCTCTTTTCTGCCTTTTCCAGAAAGTTCTCCAGAATTTGGGCCGTGCAGATTATGATGTCATTCTTTTTGACAATTTCGGGAAAGGATATTTTGAGTTGAGAATCTCCGCTGACCTTCTCCACACGGTACTGGCCTTTCAGGTACTTCCCAAACTCTTTGGTGTAGTGCTGCTCTACCAGGGGTACCTGAGAAGGACAGGACAGTGCTAAACAAACAAACAAACAAACAAACAAACAACCCAACAAAAATAGACAGTCTGAGGCTAAAAGAAACAAAACTGAACAAAAAAAAAACAACAACAATAGTATACAGCAGTCACAACAGATGAAATAGATTACTAATGTTGTGATGATGTACATCTTAAAAACCAAGCAGTAGTCATAAATCAGGGGTGGCCAATCTTACCCAGAAAGAGTTTGAACAGCTAATGTAAAGGTTATCCCAACAACTTGCATACACACTGGTCCTTTGTGGATAAGTTTACCCACCCCTGTCAAAGAGGAATACTTCTACATATTGTCGTCCTTGCTTTGGGTGGATGTGTTTTTCCATGAGGAAGATGCAGCCAGAAAGGCGACTGACACACACCACCTCCAGCACCGCAATGACCGGTGGGGTCACCTTCTAAGGTAATGACTCTATATACCTTGTTAACCAGGACGACGACTTTCCCTGGCCGCTTCTCCTGTCTGCAGCTCTCCAGATGCTCCTTGGTGATGTAAACGGCGACTCTGGTTTTACCGCTCCCCGTCGGGAGGCATATGATGATGTTCTTCCCCTCCAGGGCTGGGCGGGCGACCTCCTTTTGATAAGGCCAGAGGAGTATCTCGGTTTCCCTGCCGGCCCCAGCCGCGGCGTCCCTTTCGGCGCAGTCTGCAAGGCGAGCAGGATGCCGTGACGTGGCGGTCTGCACCGGATACGCCAGTGTCTTTCGGGTATGGGCAGCCTCGGATTTCCCAAGTGGAGTCTCGCGCCATAAACTTTGATTTGATGCTAAAACGACCTCTGCTGTGTGGATTTCAAAGTTAAAACGCTCTCATTTACACCTGCGGGGCACAAAACCTCAGCCCTCAACCTCAACCTCAACCTCAACCTCAGGGTGTAGCGCCCTCCAGGCTAGCAGAACATACTAGCCTCAGCACTTCATCAGGTGTACATTTAGATGTAGCTCGTTCATCCACAACAATTTGCCATTTTTGGCCAAGTTTCAGGAGCGACACCAGCAAAGTACACTGATGACTTTGTGTTACAAGACCATGAGTAACATTTACTGGTAACAGTGTAGTTACAGTTATATAGACGTATGATAAAACTATGAAAAAAATGACACTGAAAACTTTTCATGAGTGCTAAAGAGAGCTAAACATACTTGATCAGATGTAATATTTTGTGAGAACACCATACAGCATAAGCACATTTTACTGTATATGCGCAGCAAATAACGCACATTAGAGATGGGAGGCTTTTCAGGCAATATTTGTGGGATTTCAAAAGTTAGGTTGTGGTCTAGGGCTAGAGTGAGATGGTGTGGAACAAACAGCCACACTGCTGAGCAAAAGGGACAACTGTGTTCCTAGTGAGAATGATGACAAGCGAAGAGACCTGAAATGACAGGAGCAGGAAAGCATGTACACACAGGCACACGCAGGTTTGTAATTATATCTTTGTGGGGGCTCTCCATTCATTTCTAAGGGGAAAACTCGAATCCCAACATGACGACCTTAACCGCTACCCAGCCCTGATCTTAACCATAAGTAACCAAACAAAATAAAAGTCTTTTGGCATTTTTAGTTTTTTGATTGCATTCACAGATTTTTGTGGGGGTCCACAATGTCAAAATAAGTTTTTATCACATTGTGGGGGACACTTGGCCCCCACGAAGTAACATAAACATCATCCACACAGACTGCTGCCTGCTGTACCAGGTGGAGGTCTTGCGTAAAGTGTGTAGTTTCAGGAGGTTAAAATGAGCACTTTAGCTTGCTAACACATAATAAAATTATGTGTGATGGATAAAGACAGAGTTATTCCTGTCTATTCTGCAACAGCGGGAAGGGGGCCCCTGAGGACGGCCGATTATATATAAATTATATTAATAAATCTGCTTTATTTCTGTATTCTGTTTTTCACAAAAGTGAAATTAAAGCTCTTGTGTTTATTAAGTTCTCTTTGTTGATATTATTAATTTACATTTCACAGTAAAATAAAGGCTATAAATTTTAATATTAATATAAATTCCGGAGGAGGGGCAGTTGGGGGGCCAAATTAAGTTTTTTTTATGTTGTCCCTAGAATCGCTTCTGACAACTGCGAGTATAACACAATACTTGAGGACTGGGAGAGTATTTTGTAGGGGAAAAAAATTGACTTTACAGAGGACAGACGTTACTACTAATTACGGCAATTTCTTGGGTTGTAAACGAGAAAGGGGATGCTTTCTTTTTATTCTCAGTAAAACCAAAATTAACGAGCAACCAAAATCGGAAATTTGCCGTCAGCTGGGGAGACCATCTGCTGAGCGGTGGGCCGATGCTGTGGAGTGAAACTAAAAGGCGCCGAGCAGAACACATCTTAAAAGCTCAACAAATAACAGGCTGCTGTATATTGACATGGCAGTGGCATAACTCTCCCATCTCACTTATACCGGATTTCCTTGGCAAACAGACAGGCAACCGGTTTTATCCAGTGCATCTTACTAAGACCTACGCGACAATGACTGAGCTGTGTTTGCAGTGGCTTATGGGCGTTATTTTAAACACATTCCGTGTTTTATTGGAGTACCTTGACCTGTAGTCAGGTCATGCTGAAACTACAGACGCTGCGGAAAACACAGCGCTCCTCGTGTTCAAATATATTTTACGGATATGCGGTCATCCTTCCTGCGCGATGTTTTTCCATGGCTGCTTAAAGCAGTTTGCATTTTTTCCCCTATTATCGAAAGCATAGCGTTAAGCTGTAAACATGCCCTTTATACGTTATACGCTATAAAAATTATGCAGATATTTCCTGTCATCACAATTCCAAGCTCCAGGGAAATGTTCAGTTTAAAATGTGCACGTGGCGTACAGTGTAATTATATCAGAAACTAAAAATGTGTTAAATGATAAAATAAAAGCAGTGTCATTTCCATTTACATAAAATATTTTCTTATTGTCAGTGTTTTCTTATTGTAATTTTGCAAGAAAGATGTTAGATCTACTAGTGCAAAAATAAAATTAAATACAGGCCCAAAAACACACAAACCGACCGATTTCTTCGTTTAAACCACATATGTTTGTGATTTTAAGGACTGGCTCCACTTTTTTTACCTTCAGGAGACAGATGGAAAATACTGCTGCCTAAGTGCTTTAGGGCAAACCCACAAGGGCTTACCGACTGTTTCCACTCACTCGCCTCACTCCGTCGACAAAAAGTTCACAGCTGATGACAGAGCTTGGTCATTTCCTACATTCACTCGCTAGACCCAAGAATTATATTTATGATGTTGTTAGCCAGGTTTATTATTTAGTGAACCTGCACCCGTGTTTATATGATTATTTCCATTTCACACATTTGCCAAAACACTTTTAGTTTCTGTATTGTTTTAGAAAATTACAATAAAGCAGTTCCACTGGGGGAAAAAACTATATACTAATTAATAACAAAATATCCAGACTAGGCATTAATGCAACATTACTTTCACATAAGCCCTTGCCCAGGCTCTATATAATCTTGATTACATTGTTATCTGCCTACATGTTTTTCTTCGCTTTTCCTCATTCCAGAAGTGCACTAGCCGGTTCATCGACAGCGCTCCGCCCATACAAAGTACTGAAAACTGCATGTTAAAATGACATTTGCCTACCTGGTATTGGCTGATTCGACTCATCCAAGGTTAATCCCAATAGAGATGAATTGAGGGATTCACCGCCAGAACTATAAAGGTCCGGGTCTAAAGCAAAATGTATGTTTCACAATTAACTTACTGCAGGTTATTTCACATATACAACATTACACTTTTGTATACAAACTTGAATTTGTATATACTGATTGCCGAAATACATTTCCCACAATGCCCGAAGCCCAGTCCTAGTTTAGACTTCAGACTTCCTGACTGATTTTAATGTAACAAATGTAAAAAAAGTATCAAAACATAAGTAAAAATATAGCAATGTAAGTAAAAATGAAACATATTGAAAATATGTACATATTCGATCTGTAGTATATAGCCTAGTATATTACATATTGGCCGAATATTGGCTTCTACCCGTAAAAACATATTAATCTTTTTAAGCAGTTGTTTGGAATTTCAATGTTTAATTCTTTTAATGTTTACAGAAGATGTTCACAATTCACAAACTCTAAGGGGAAATCATTTTCTTCTAATTGTGACGCAAATGACTCAACAGCACCCCCTTGTGATAGTTTAAAATAGGCCCACTTCTTCAGCTAAACATCACTTAACTTAAACATGATTTACTCGAAGGAAATAACTGCTTTTAATGGACTGAAATGAAGCCAATTATGAAAAAATATGGTGAATTTTCTAAGTAATTCTACCTAACGAGTTTGCAGGATAAGCATCAGTAGATTCATTCCGTGTAGTGTCGCAGCTGGAGTTGTCCAAACTTGTGTTTAAACTTTCTTCTCCATTGTCGATGCAGCTGTCTGATTCTCTTACACTCTGGTCGTTATCGTTCTTATTTTCCTTAAGGTCTGGCTCATACTTCACCGCCTCAGGTTTGACATTCCCCTCACAAATGGAATCTAGAGAGCCCAAATGAATAAGTGTTCAAGAAGGAATAACCAAAATGGGTACCAAAATGCAGACAAGGCCTTTAATACAATGTAACATTCCAATAGTACTCTTACCTTTATGATCTTCGGTGGATTCAAGTCCAGTGAGTTCGCGGACCATATCCAAATGCTCTGTTTGTCTTAAAACATCCAAAAATGTAGAAAACCATCCAGGCGGCTTTTGCACAATTTTTCTGAGTTCTCGGGCTCCCGCTCTGTTTCCATAGTTTGTACATGCTGCCATAACCTAGAACAATATACAATAGATTGGAATGTGATCATAATGCAAGCTTACTGTTCACTGTTTAAAAGTAAATGGGATACAGTAGGCCTATATAATATTCCATCATGAACTTTAACACTGCTCTTTCCTTACCTTAGGCTGCCCCCATCTGGTTATCATTGTGAATTACCTTTAAATATCCATCTATGGGTCACTGAAACTAAACATGTAAACCACCACCAGAGGCGCCACTAGGCTGGGATATTTTGGGCTAAAACCCCAAATTAATTCAAATGAGACTTGAATGATTTCTTGCTTAGCCGGATAATTTATTGGATTTAAGGTACCCCAGTCTAAATGGACTTTATCTTTGTTCGTTTACATTTGGCCCAGACTGCCTTAAGTCCGACAGTTAATCCAGCTAAGTGAGAAATCTAGGGGGCTATTCCATGTTATCCTATTGGACAGTTACCACGTTCATCTTAAGCTATTCAGGTAACTGGGAAATCCTGCTTTGTGGAATACCCCTCAGGATTTCTCAGTTAGTTGTATTAACTTAAGCTAGAAGTCATGATTGTCCAATAGAAATATTCCTTACCTAAACTATTATTGAACAATCATGACTTCTATCTTAAGTTAACCCAGCTAATTGAAAAATCCTGCTTTGTGGAACACACCCCAACTTCATGATACAGCCCCAGTTTGAGAACCAGGGCTAAATCCCAGATGTCATAGCAACACCCATTTAAACCACTGTATGCAATATACGTTGACATGTGAAGAGGATTTAATAAGATAACTAAACCAATGTAACTTATTTCAGCAAGGGAGGGCCTTTTGCTTCACTTCTGTAATAAATCAGTCTTCACTGTATGACATCCCCAGATTGGTCCATTTTTTTCTCTCATTTCCAAACTTAAGGCTTCCAGCCATCAAGTCACCAGGGGTGCCATTAACCAGTTGGGTTAACATAAGCCAGAAGTTATGATTGTCCAATAGGACTGCTCCTTATCAAAACTCTAATTTGACAATCATTACTTTTATCTTAAGTTAATCCAGCTGAGATACCCTGTTTCATGGAACATTCCCCCCCCCCCATTTCTGGCCTGGGGTAGTGTGTGGTTCAGCAGGCTAAGCCTCTGCGCTTGTGATCTTAAGGTTGCTGGTTCAAGTCTTATTATTTTTGTTATTATTATTATTATTATTATTATTATTATTATTATCATCATCATCATCATCATCATCATGAAATAAAGACACCCCCTTATATTACTCCATACAGCCTTTGCAGTTAAGTATATTTCTAAATTTTGTATCAGTGACATACACAATAAAACTGGTACATTATATGTGTACCTTGCTAATGCCTTAATAGAAAATACTGGTTTTAATTAATATGGTGATGTCATACAGTGAAGACTGTTATTGGTTAAAAAAGTGAAACGCAAGTCCCTCCCTTGCTGATCCAGGGACGTGTCGAACTTGTTAAAATCAGGGCTTGCATATATATATATATATATATATATATATATATATATATATATATGGCCTACATATATAAGCCTTTACATACATATATATAAACGACACCAGCAACAACAATAAATATCATTTGTAATAATAGTTGCACATGCATTAAACTCACAATGCAATCACACTGCGTTTTTATATCCTATTGCAAACAATCGTAAAAAATACAAGAGGTTCTGTTGTTTTTTGATACATCTCATATTCAATTCCTGATATCAGAAATAAACACAATAGCAAAACTAAACTGCTTCATATCGTAACCAGGCATACGGACAAACATTTCAGCGAATGTTGAAATATCAAATAGTGTATTTAACTGCTTTAATTTTTATCCACTTACTATTTCCCTGTCATCTTCAGTCAAAATATTTTGTGTAAAACTCATTGTACAGACGTCAGGTGTTTTCATCTGCTGAAGACTGGGAGCGAGGAGATCAATCAGTTTAACGCAGTAATCATTTACAGCCTCCGACGAAGCACTTGGTAGAGTTTCTGTTTCCATGTACATGGCAGCATGTTGGCATCCAGCAGTATTGAGTGCGTCAGTAAGTTCCCTGCACCAGCCCGCCGGCCGGGGGCCTCTATAAATCGTATCGATTAAAAGGTCCACTGCTAATTGGTTGCTTTCCTTTTTCGCTTTATTTAAGATTAAATCTTTCTGGTCACGCTCAATGAAAGTCAAACGATCTAAAACAGGTTCGATTTGAATTAGAGACCTAAGTCTATTACGAAAACAGTCATATATAAGCCAAAGAAATCGTTCATCCGCCGAACTCTCCATTGTCGTGTGTTATTTTCCGACACAGCGCTTATTACCAATAAAGTCTGCTCACGGAACGAAATGATCTCTCTGCAAACAGGCCTACAATACCATAGGCTGGATAGGTTTCGGTTTTCCTTTCGTTTTCGATCCCTAACCTCACCAAAGTGAGGAAAACGACAAAATTAGCGTGGAGTTTCCCTTACATTCAAGGTAATTAATTTATTTCTTTGTCTGTTTGCTAGTCCTTACGTATAGTTTATGTAAAGTGAAACTACGTTTTTTCAATTTCCCTTGAAGACCCAAGGAAATAGTATTATTTAAAGCGCAGCATGAAGGTCACATGACAATATATACATGTAGTCAAGCCAGTGCATTAAAAAACATAAAATTATATAGAACTATTCCAAACATAACTCTTGTCATATTAAGCAATACTAGTGCAAAATGTGACCTTTAATATACAGACGTATTCGATCCCAAATCCAGTTTAGGCATAAAAGCGTGTTTCTATTGGATGAGCCGACAATCAGTCACTGACTTCCGCTTTAAGTAATCACGTACGCGCGCTACACACTGGTGCTACACACTGGGTACAAGGAAGTGTAGGAAGTTACATGCTCAGATAGCGCCTGTCTCCATATAGCTACAACTGGAGCATTTGGGAAAAAAAATCTCGTCTTCCATTTGATCCGATCTTCTTTAGCTGCGACAGCCGGAGCTTAAGATGGCATACCCAGGATACGGCGGAGTAAGTGCACTTTCCAGGGGACGCGAGCAGATTTCGAAGTGAAAACAAAAACACCATATAACGTTCTGTAGCTGGGAAATTCAGTAACCGGTTTATATTTTGTACAACCGATTTACTATATTTACATGTAATAACTGCGATCGCCGACTTCTGTATGGATGACTGGCAAAATGCTGGATGCAGCTCTTAGATCGAATGCGTGCGCTACGTAAATCAATACGTATTTTACTCTGTCTTTGAGAAAATGTATATTTGCATTAAGCACATTGCGGCTGTACGTGTTACAGGAAGCGTTGCTTCTGTGAATAGAACAGTCCGTGTATGGCATTTGGTGAGCTTTTACGATCTTAAAATCATTCCTGGGGTTATACAGGGTTGTTTACTTACTGTTGGCAATGCTTCCTCTGGGTTATGAAAAATAGAGTTACTAATTTAAGCTTCTTTTAAAGATATGTTTATGCCTCTGCTGAATATATAGCTATATATATATATATATTTTTTTTTTAGCTACCCGGTAGTTAAATGACAGCGTTACTAACGGCGTTGATTAAAGGCTCAGAAGTACGCCCTCAGATTTAATTCCACCGCGTATTTCATAAAGGGAAACGTTTTTATTGTTTCCAATCTGATGCAGGTGTATTACCGATTAAGGATATAATGGATATATTCTCTGTAAGGAAGCATGTATAATGAAATTTGTAATTTCTTGGTTAATGTTGTGAAATCACAGTAGGCGTGTTCCCTCAACTTGGGACAGTATGAAATAAAATTGTTACTGAGGCTGGGGGTCCTTTTACCGAGGAGCTGTTGTGGCTGTTATAGAACAGGACCTAAGAGTGTGATTAGTTAATGGCCACTTGTTTTTCCTGCATCATGTATAATAAATCATGGCTTTGGTTGGAGTTCACACTCGTAACAACATGGCTGCATTTGTTCCTTTTCAGTATGGGGGTCCACCACCAGGTGTCCCAGTCCAAGGAATGTCTATGCCTGGAGGCCCCATGGGAGGCCCTATGGGGGGGGCGGGTCCTGCTGGATTCCCTAGCTATGGTGCCTATCCTGGAAATTTTGCCCCTCCCCCCGTCAATGACCCAATGTTGAGTTATTTCAGAGCAATAGCGGGGCAGGTGAGTACATGTCCCATTGTCTTTACAAGTATTGCTACCTGTAATCTGTTGAAGTATCGGTTATTTCCGTGAAATACTGTTTTGTTGTTATAATTCCGATAGCTTCTCTGTACCAGCCGTCTTTAGCAAATGTTGGGCAAAACTGTCTAAAATCAAATGTAGTTTTGTTTTTGAAGGCATTCTTCTTGAGAAGTAGATGAGGCAAACTAGGGGGTGATGTTAAATGAGGTGTATCCGGGTGAAGGTTTGGTCTTGGGTGGCTGTTGGGAAGAACCATGGGGAGATGTAACATAAGATCTCCTTTCTCAGGAAAGGCATCTGTGAGACACCTAGGATGGATTCCAAGGAGCCTCTTCGTCAGCCAGTGAAATAACGGGAAAACAGTGCTGTCAGAAATTAGAGCAAAGCTTCAAACGTCTTAGTCAATCTAGTGGGTTAACAGAGCCGAGCAGATGTTTACCATACCATACCAACTTTATTTGTAGAGCTCTTTACAAACCCATTCTGGGCCAAAGTGCTGTACAGAATCCAAAAAAAAAGAAACAAATAAAAAGCTAATAGCACATATAACAGTAATAAACAGACATAAAACAAAATTAGAACAAGCACTATAGAATACGAACAAATGACGCAAAATAGTCATGACGTTGTTAGGCATGTTTTTTTTTTTGTAATTAGTAAATTTTTATGTTCTTGCCTTTGGCCTTTTCTTTAAACATTAAGTTACTGCGGTGTTGCGTTACAGGATGGCGAAATTGATTCTGAGGAACTTCAGAGGTGCTTGACACAGACCGGAGTCAGTGGGACTTACACTCGTAAGTTACGCTCTACAAGTAGTGTCTTTGCATGATTAAATATTAATGATGGTTAGGGCTGGGTGGTATATCGAATTTTTAAAGTATATCAATATATTTTCATAATGAGATGTAGGATGACACAATAGTGTTTGATGTATTTTTATTGTGCATTCTATTAATATTTTTAATAGCGACAGATATTATTCCTTCCTGGTTGTAAATGGCGTGAGAGCTTCAGTCTTGACGTTGCGCAGAAACCCAAGAATCACAGATCAAAACATTTAGGTAGCATCTCAAAGGGAAGCTGATGGAAGCTGATCTTTCAAGTTAAGTATTCAGTGGTTGTCAGGCTTCTGTGTTTAGAGGCATTTGGGAAATAAGTTTTAGAAAAACCTTCTGCTTTCAGAGCAACACCATAAACTGAGAGTCTTTGGGTGGACATAGTTTGTTTTACAGTACTTGCTTGTCGTAGCTGCTCTATTTGACTCATGACACAGATGCAGGTATAATTTATTTTTGTCTTTTTTTTGAGATTTGAAGATGTCTGTGCAGAATAATTCAGTTTTATATTTGCACATGGGGAAAGAAACACTGTTTGCCTTTTGTTTTGGCCACACTATTTTATATAAGACATGGTTTTGACCTACAACTGAACATTTAGCCCAAGATGTATACCTAAGATATATATTATGCATTGGTATTCTGCCGAAAAATACAGAGATGGTTTTTCAGCCATATCACCCAGCCCTATTAATGGTATTTAATTAAATTAAACATCTAAGCATACAAATTTTTCCCCCTTGACCAATAGCATTTAGTTTGGAGACCTGCAGAATCATGATTTCTATGCTGGATGTATCCTTCACAATGGAAGAGTTTTATTCTTGAGGAACTTGAAGTGAACGCTTCCAGAAATGGGTGGGAAGTAACCTGTGTAATTCTCTTTCTCTCCAGGTACCCTAACCATGTTGGTTGCATCTCTAATTTTTTGTGTTACCGATATGCCTTGTTACTCCACGCTTGACAGTTCTACCCACATAAGTTTTAGCTGCATACTGCAATTGCAACGTGCTAAGTTGAGCAATGCTAAGATTGCCTATTCCTGCTTTCTCTTGCAAAAATGTGGGCCCTGAATGAGGGTAGGCCAACTTGGGAATGATTTAAAAATAAATAAATAAATAAATAAAAAAATTGAACAACTTGTGAAGGATTCCTTGTCTGTGGACGTACTTAACTTGCATCCTCCAGGTGGATATGACTGGGAAGATGGGTTTCAATGAGTTTAAAGAGCTCTTCGCAGCTCTTAATGGCTGGAAGCAAAATTTCATGATGTTCGATCAGGATAGAAGTGGCACCGTGGAGCCTCATGAGATGGCTCAGGCCGTCTCCTCCATGGGTAGGTGATGAAAGTGCTGTCCAGCTCATTGTTTATTGATGCTGCCTTTTACGCTGCCTGATAACGTGCAATGCTCTCACCTTTGTGGTTCCAGGTTACAGGATAAGCCCTAATACGCTGAGTGGCATCATTAAGCGCTATAGTAAGGGTGGCAGGATTGCTTTCGACGATTATGTGGCCTGCTGCGTTAAGCTGCGGTCTCTCACAGGTACGGTGCTCTCCTCTCCCATTGGCTAATTGGCTGAGCGCGGGACTGAGTTCTAATACCATCCTTTCAGATGCGTTTAGGAGGAGAGATGCCATGCAGCAAGGTGCTGTGAGCTTCCAGTACGATGATGTAAGTAGCAGAGATCCCCTCCATTTTAACAACGTGTTGCACAATTCATTCTGACTTGCGTAAATCTGCATTTGTCCCCTCTCCTTTTTGTTGGTTAAAGTTTCTCCAGTGCACAATGACCATCTGAATCACCTGTGGAGGAATTTGTGTGGAAGCAAGAATTGACGAAAGGGCATTTCAGGATATTTTAGCTACTCCTTGGTTGCAGAAACAAGAGAGATTTTTTCCCACATTGCAGATCCAGATTTCAGAATTTTTAAATATTGATGTATTAATAAGCACATTAATTGTAATAAGCGGCTGTGTCACCACCTTGCATTATAATAACATTGCATTTGAAAGTGTAATCTTAGGTTTAGCTTCACCGTACTAAAATCGGTTAATTGCAATGAAAATGTAATTGAAAATGTAAATAGCATATTGAACAGTGTGTAGTAACCTTTGGTGTTAAAATAGCACACAGGTGTCTGTGTCCATAACTTTGAATATTTCTGCCCAAGACCATTTGATCTCCCTTTAATCCCAGATTAGTATCTTCCCATTAAGGCAGTGGTGATACAATGGGTATTACCTAAAGGTATGACACTTAAAAGAAGAATACTCAATAAAGAAGATTTTAAAGCCAAAGGTTACTTACTGACTGAACTGCTAGTGTTTCCTGAATGTGATGCCCTGCAAGGTTTGCTGAAATTTTAGTGATGAAATTCCTACATTCTCTTTAACAAAAGCCAAACGTGTCTTTAGTATCCTGTAACCTGAGTATAAAAATCAGCGTAGGTTTGCTCTACATCCATGGATAGTAGTATGAGATTTGTGTAAGATGTAAGCAGGTAAATGCAAGTGCCAAAGTTAGTCCAGTGGTCGTGTTTACCCAGGAAATATTGTAGGTGCATAAAAGTACAACACTTGGCTGTGTGCACTCATTTAAAGGAAAAGTCTTCACGAAAACTGTATGTTTGAATTCTGTGTGTCGCGCACGTATGGCAAGTCAATTTTTGATGAATTATGGCCATCATGACATAATACTGTCATGAAATGTGTGTCTTCTGCCAACACAGGCTGCTGTGGCATTTTTGTAGCATAATCAGTTAGTGCTAATAATTATTTGCTTCAAAATTTAAGCCATAAATTGACACGTCTCATTTTGACGGAAGATTTCCGTGCCCCACACGCACACATACATGTTGAAGTAGTTCATATGCATTATAAGGAAATATTTCATCCGTTGCATCGACTGATGTCTGACATTTCACTGATGTCTCTTAAGCTAAATAGTATTAAGATTAATTGCCAACAGTGCATTGTTTCATTGAAATTGGACAATTTTTAGAGATTAATATAGGATCTTCTGTCAGATGTGTGCTTTGCTCTGTCCCTGTATGTTTCTTTTGATTATACAAAATATTAAAAGTCCTTTTGTATTTGCCAAGCTTTTATTGCTTTAATTTGTACAACTTCTATATATCCTAAATCATAAACCAGCTTTATGTACACTGTATGTATATTAATATTTGTAAGAGGAACATTCATATCTGCCATAAAGCATTTTGCATTGTATAAAATATAGTGGCAAACTTTAAATGCATAAAAATAACAATGAAACAGGAGAATAAGAATTGACATCTTCCCCTCTGGACAATCGTTAAGAGGCATGTAAGAAAGTTACATTGAGGATTTCTTGGCTTTTTTAAGTTTTATCAATCATGTATTATTTGCTCTGAGAAGGCTGTGAAAATAATTTAACGTAGCTTGGTTTTCAGTATAAATAGTACAGGTACTGAATGTACACTTTTTTTGTTTTAATTACTACGCAAGTTAAATTTACAGCTTTTTATATACTGCGACGGACAAACAAATTCTGACCAAGAAGTAACAAGAAAAAGTATAATGGGGATGTCTAAGTGAGGAGGGGAATTCAATACATTAGACAGTGTTGCTCTTTGTAAAAAGTTGTAATGAAAAGTGGGGAAAAGCAATCAAAGTCTGACTGTAATACTGGTTTAAACTCATTCTCCATATGCTGCCTTAATTGAATTAGTGTCTGTTACCAAATCTGTCCGTCCATTCATCCATCCATCCATCTTCAAGCTCCTTTTCCCGCTTCGGGTCATAGAGGAGTCTGGAGTCTATCCCAGGCAGCTTAAGGCACAAGACAGGGGTAACACCCTGGATGTGATACCAGTTCATTGCAGGGAATGCACCCAACAATCACACAGATTGGAAAATTTAGTGAAGCCAGTACAGGTAACCTCACCTCGAGATGGCTGCAGGAAGCTACGCACGCAGAGCAGGGCATCATCCAAGCCCCCAACCACTGGAGGCACGAGGAGAACGTTACGGAACCACCACGATATCCCAACACCTCACTTATCAAGTCCATGTTCTAGTTACACGTTGGTTACAAAAAAAAAACATTTCTCATCCCAATATAATGTACAACAATATATATGACTTCCAGTACTGAGACCCAAACGTCCATTTTCAACATTAATAACCAGTAACTTTGGAAACAGACTTTTTCTTGCATTTTTTTGGAATGTCCACTGGACCATATGTTTCAGACCACAAGCCCGTTGATGAGAATCAGAGTGTGATACTATTAATTTTGGGGGAGAAATTAAATGGCACTAATTATGTTTGAATGACAGCTATTTTCTTGCCTTTGTAAATGTATTGTGCCTGATGATTTTTAAAAAATTGTTTATGCTTTAAATAACTAAACATTTCACTTTAAACCCAGACCCCAACAGCCATTGCAAATGCTCTATAATGATTTTGTAAAATTTTCTCTATAATATTATTACTGCTATTGTTGAGGATGGAAGCTTTAATAACAGTTCTTTCAATTATTATTGGATTTTATACTTATATCAGTTCAGCAATTATGAGTTAATTATGTCACAATAATCCCAAGTGATGCACCATCCAGTTTGTATATCAAATTAAAAGTTCAGCATTTAAAATGAAACAGAAATCCATATTAAAACTCTGTGCATGTACTCTATCAAAAGGGTAAAAAATATACCCTAAATATTTAACCCTAAATTACGAATTTAGGGTAGGTATGTTGTTTCAATTGTGTAGATAAATATATTAAACTTGATAGGTGGAAAAACAATTGAAACAAATGTCTGAGAAAATGGACAGATGGAAAAACACTTAATTTTGAAATATTGATCCAAAATCACATGCTGAAGTTGATATTATTGCTGTTAGATCAGGACATATTATTCGTATGCATTTTCCCCTTAAAGCAATCCCAGATTTTGTATAAATTTTGTGGTGTTTGAAAAGAATGAACAGTTGCTTATACTGAAACAACTATTGTGTATGTGGATTGTGTGGACTACAGTGTGACTTGGTTACTGAACAATATGCTGAGCCTGTGTATGGATGTATTTTACGTGGAACCTTAAAGCATTTTTAATGGTATGTTTACATTTTGCAGTCAAATTTAATGAACACTTATTCTGATGCTGCAGTTTATAGTTTAAAAGGTTCATGCTGTGCATTTAGGTTTGTCTGAGTAAGCGTCATCTAAAAGGAAAATGTTTTTAAACATGCATTTTTTTTTGGGACGAGTACGGTAAGGTGCCTTGTGCTGCTGGCAGTGTACATGATATATAAAGAATGTGTTCCCTTTAATGACTATTTGTTGAATTAAGTGTCTAGAATTGTATATATGAATGAGGCAGGTTAGGGGGCTGCAGTATTCCTTGCATATGACAATACAGTTTCCTTCTAGACCCTGAGTCAAACATCAAAGGATTTTTGTTGCAATGGAGGCATAATGATAATTCTCAGGCCTGCTTCCCGGGAAGCCCAGGATCTGACACTGGCCTATAGAGCCCCACAGTTCCTCCGGTGGTGAGCGGTGAGTCAGGCAAGGAAGGGTGTCGCATCGAAAGAGACTGGGATTTGGACTGATGCTGGTCGAGGGAAGGTGGCCGGTTCTGCTGGTTCCTGCCGCTCCCTTCTACGTGCAGCTGGGACAGAGCCGGGAAGCTGTCTCCTGAAGCTCCCTCCATATCGTCCATACCTGATAGAGATTCTTTGGGCTTCTTGATTGATGTCTCCAAGGTGTGGGATTCTAGGCCCTGAAAAACACAAACATAGTCTCTGACATGGTCTCCACCATGGACTACAAAATTAATTTACGATTATTTCCATGGGTGTAGAAACTGTAGGGGATAGGCAGATATGTCCCCTGGTGTTCAAAGTGTGGATTTTGTTCCCCCCCCCCCCCACACACACACATGCTTTTCCCATCCTCAACAGTTTTTTGCTACGTGTCTGTGTTTTTTTTCTGGGCAATTCCTACTTACTAGTTCTAAAAAATAAACCCAGGTCAGGATTCTCCATTACCCTTAAGAACACACCGGTCCCACTTTTCAAGAATCCAGTGAGACTTGTCTCAGCTGTCTGTTGATTTTAATTTCAAAACTGCAACAGCGCTAAACAGGGGTGCTGAGCGTACACGAAACATGGAAAAGCACAGAAAGAGGAATCAAGAGTGTAAAAACAGAAACCGAAATGTAAAATACTGCCATGACACGTGTGCACAAGCTGTTAATGGGTGCAGACAATGCGAAGTGGATTTATGAGCCCAGACGCCTGGTGTTCAGAGTCACTGTGTGATGTCATAGAGCTGGGCGATAGGCCCCCCAAAAAAAGAACATCATGGTATTTTCACAGATTTTCACAATATCAATATTTATTAGGATATTCCATAATTCATATATAGAAAAGAGTAAAATATGACAGGTGATTTTGAGTTCTTCTGATTATAATGACCAAATTGTTTTACTAATGGTTATGAAGCACGTAACAGGTATACCACACGTCTGATTTCAAGTACAGATCTCAGTCATGTCACCTGCAGAAATTCTCTGATGACAGATCCCTGTGTCAGGGATGGACAGCAGGATGAATACAGGGGTGCGGTGGACAGCTTTGTTGAGTGTTGTGGGCTGAATTTTTACAGCTTAACGTCACAAAGACAAAGGAACTGGTTGTGGACTTTAGCAGGCAGGCTCCTTCCCCCACCCCTGTAACCATCAGAGGAACGGATGTGGAGGCGATTGAGGACTACAGGTACCTGGGGGTTCACATTGACAGTAAACTGGACTGGTCCAAGAACACTGACACTGTTTACAAGATGGGGCAGAGCCGGCTTTACTTACTGAGGAGACTCAGGTCTTTCAATGTCTGTAGTAAAATGCTGACTATGTTCTGTCACCCTGTAGTAGAGAGCGTGGTGTTTTTTGCAGCTGTGTGTTGGGGCAGAGCGGTGAAGATGGCAAATGCCAACAGGCTGAACAAGCTGATTAAAAATGCTGGTTCTGTCCTGCGTGTCAGACTGGAGAAGCTGGCGGAGGTTTCTGAGAGGAGAATGCTGAAAAAGCTTCTCAGTATCATGGAGAACCCCTCTCACCCCATGCCAGCCTCCATGACGGGTCACCAGAGCACATACAGCAGAAGACTCACTGCCTGCAAATGCAGAACCGAACGCCACAGGAAATCCTTTCCACCTGTGGCAACAAGACTGTATAACTCTTCCCCTTTCTGTAGGTGATCTTTCTCAGCATTTATGTCATTAGGTTCTCATTTGGATTGTACAATATTACTCATCTGTTTTTTTATTTACTCACCTGTATGGTATTGAATGTTTGTTTCATCCCCTCACCAGAAGCTGCTATCTCATTTTATTCATGTCACAATCACTAAGTCACTTTTCATATCCACTTGCACTAATTATCTGTTATTTTATTATATCTGTATTAGTTATTTGTTACTTTGTTAGATTTATTTTGTTATTCTGTTTTTGCACTATTACTACTGTTCTTTTTAAGCTCTTTACTGTCTCATCTTTATTCCTCTTGTTGCACTGAGCATGTTTAAATCAAAAGAATTTCCCTAGTGATAAATAAAGTTCTTATCTTATCTTATCTTAATTCTATGATAAATTACACCAACAACAGACTCATACCTAGATGGCATTTGTTCCATCTACTGTAGGTATGGAACTAAATCATGGCTTCTGGCTGCTAACAAAAACTGAGAACAGAAATAAGGAAGGTAGCTTGTCTACTTTGACACTTGATGATGGGAAAAAGTAAAACAGAAGCAGTGGGTGTAAAAGAGGGCAGGATTCTGGGAAGTCGGTAAGAGTACATGTAGTTGTGAAATTAACTTAGGAAAAGCCGGTGCTGTTACTTTTAATGAGTTGCTGTGTTGAAACTGAACCAGACAAATGGACATTTACAAAACCATGTCTCCATACCCCTATATTCCAGACACTAATTACAGTTCTTGTGATTATGGCAATAATTAATATTTCTCACAGTCACAGCCCAGGACCTACGATTCTATCATCTTTGATACTGAATTATTAAATTGAAAAAGATTTTAGGCATAATTCATTAAGCTTTAATGGTTAATGCTGTGAAACCACCATTGTCCGTCATTCATAAAAAAGAAGTGTTACTACGGTATTTACGTATTGAGAAAGCGATTCATAGAAGATAGCATTGCATACAAATTAAGACCAGTTTCATTCTGGTGGTAAATTTCAGTGGTGTGACATCTGGGGATATTTTAATTGTAATTGCTAGTGTTAGTGTGTTGGTATGTTGTATTAGTAATCGATACATTTGACAGCGATGCCCATTCAGTCAGTTACTATGTTTATTTGAATGACAGTTGGAAGTGGATTCTTTTCAGCATTTGCGAAATATTTGTGGAATCGTGTTTTGCTATGTATTGTTCTCTGTTTACATTTTTCTTTGTTTTCTTTCTTTTGTGTTTTTTGGCTTTTTCGTTTTGTACAGCACTTCATGACTGTTTTGTCTGTGAAAAGTGTTTAATAAATAAATGTTACTTACTGACATTTTTGCCAAACAGTTGGTAGCAATTTATGTCAACTTGATCTTTTAAAATGCGGAGCTCTACACAAGAGAAGTTTCCTTTGACAGTTTAAAATGCAGAGGATGCAGTACAAAGCGCAGCTTATTAACGCAGCAATCTGCCCGGGCTTTTACATGCGATGCCCCTTACCCACAATGGCATATTCATGGGATACCGCTGTGCTGCTTGCTTTAGGAATGTGCTTAGATTATCGCGGCTCTCATTTAGCTTGACTCTGTGAAGTCATTGCTGTCGTTTTTCTATGACTCAGGCCCTTTGAGTTGTGACATTAAAGCTTGTTGCGAAAACAAGGAGCCCAACCCTGTAACAAATAATGATTTTATTTAATCAATTTAATTTCATGGTTGATTTTCAACTTAACAAATCCTACATTCTGGTTTGGTAATATAGTCACAAAAAGTTATGACGTCTTATATTGGATATAATTGGATGCTGTAAACAGTCTATATTGCCGTGGAGAGGAAAGAATGATCACTAAACAACATCCAGCTATAATCCAGGTAGCGCCATGAATCCATCTCATGATCTACAGAACTGATCCCTGTTCTATTTTTGAAACTTAATGGATGGAATGATGGGATTGTGTTTTCTGGAGAACAGCAGGTCAGTTTTCAAATGGGTCTCTATAATGGACATTGTATTAATATGTTTCCATTTCTGTCTTCCACAACCATTTGTCCAATGCAAGGTGAAGAGCAGTCTTTCTGCCAGGCCCATAATATGAGGGAAGGTGCACCCTGGCCAGAATGCTATCGTACCATAGGCTGCACACATTCTTGAATTTTCAGCATAGACACACAATATTTTTAATATCTTGATCTAGCTGTTAGAGAGAGGCGATTGATAGCGATGAAGACAAATGTGTCAGTACATTGGATCAAGCCGACACGTGGATCCAGTATTTACTCGTTTTTCTGTGTGATCTGAGGATCCTGATGACCTGTCGCCTTGAGGCCGGATAACCCTGAGCGGAAAGGAAAGCAGAATTAGCTTATGTGTTGGCAGATGGAAGACATATAATCACGAGGAAGACCAAAGGAAGTCAACAAAGGAAAGCAGGGATCGCCTGCCAGGGGTGGAAACGTGGAATGTGAATGTAACAGCACTAACTGCTTAGCTCACAGACAGCTTAGTGGTCAGGTGGAATGTGAATGTAACAGCACTGACTGCTTAGCTCACAGACAGCTTAGTGGTCAGGTGGAATGTGAATGTAACAGCACTGACTGCTTAGCTCACAGACAGCTTAGTGGTCAGGAACCATTGTCTGGCCTGCGCCTTTTACTGTAGGAGGCGCTGCAGAGCTAGGTATCTCCTCTAGGACATCCTGATTTTGCCAAGTTCGATGTGACCCTGGGTCTGCAGGGGAGGGGGAGTTTAACTTCTTTAACCAATCACAGTCTTCATTGTATGACATCATCACACTGGTCCTTTTTTTCCCTCATTTTCAAATTCAAGACTTCTACCCATTGAGTTGGGGGTGTTGTGTGGCTCAGGGGGGTTAAGCATCTGTGTCTGTGATCAGCAGGTTACTGTTGTTATTATTATTATTATAATTATTATTATCATGAAATAAAGACACACCCATACATTGCTCTGGACAAACTTTGCAGGTCAACATTTTCCTATTTTTTCTATCTATGACATGTCCCTTAAGAAAAAACATATAGAATAAAACTGGTGCTTTACCTTGTTGCCTCACAGAAAATGCTGGTTTTAATTAATGTGGTGATGTCATACAATGAAGATGTGAAATGCAAACCCCTCCCTTGCTGATCCAGGGATGCGTCAAACTCGGTAAAATCAGGACGTGCCTCTTCTCTAAGCGTAAATGTAGGTTGTTCCAGAATGGAGCTTAGTTCACTCCCTATGCTAGTATGTTCTTAATGTTATGAATAAATGAAGTCATCAGGGTGTGGAAGAAGTAAATCCCGAAGAACCAGGGTGTGGGTCTGGTTTAAAGGTGAGATGCTGGGCTGGAAGTTAAGCTCATCTAGTGCCTGAGGGAACTTATTTAGATGAAGGACAAGTACAAAAAACTGAACAATAGCCCGCTGGCTAGTAAAAAAAAAAGTGCTGGAATGTCAGAATACATTTCTTTACTAAACTAGTCCAGTTATCTAGTAGCAAAAGATCTTAAGTTCCACCGCTGGTGAGAAATATATTTTATATTCTGTTCTAAAATTGATGACTAGACAGTGTAGAAATGCGGGTACAGATCTAATAAGTTTACATTCTGTAACATTTGGCACCTAAGCAAAGAATTTGTGTAGCCAGAATGTGGAGTGTTACAGTGTAATCAATGGATGGACCAGCTTTTCTATGTCATTGATTGACAGCATTTTGCAAACCTTGATATATTTCTAATGCAAGAGACTAGTATCAACTGTAAGTGTCAACCTGCCACTTGTAACACCAATGCTCTTATTATGGTTTTCACATTGACCGAAATGTCATCCAGAATCATTCTCAAGTTTTAGACAGTATGTCCACTAGCATTATTGTCTTATTAGAGAAAAAATAAATTCCGTCATCCTGTCATTTGTCTTAAGCTTAGAGAATTGATGTATTTCACTTTTGCGATGGATACATAGAGTTGTTTTTTCTTCAGCAAACAACACATTTATTAATGATGTCACCATGGCATAGGATATATGATGACCAAGACTGTGTGACCAAGACTGCCTCGGGGAATGTCATAGGTGACTCTCAACATTTTCATGACTCAGCATTTATATTAACAAACCAGTAACAGGTAAGGCCGAAGACAAGGAAGTACAACACCAGAATGGGCCATGTACCTAAGGGTTAAGGGTTCAGAGATAATGCAGTGCTTACAGTATCTGATACGGATATTCCTGTTACACGTAGATGCCAACATGATTGCAGTGGAAGGGGCTGGGGGGTGCTGGGCCACTGCATGGTTTTGAACCTTGACGTCCCAGTTGCATCTAAGTAAGCAACTAACTTAACTAGTGTAGTGAGATATATTAGTGCAGCAAAAACATATGACAAACTGCTGAGTATGTGTAAAGTGTTAGCAGTAAATGGAGCACAGGTCTGACAGTTATTGTAAGGTCCTGCCAACATACTCTGGATCTTTTCTCTGATACACTGAAATATGGTGTTAAATCTGCAATGTCATCACTTTTATGTAAAGTGATTGCTAATTATTTGCTGCGGGATTCCAAGCCAGTTCAGCGAATTTATTTTCGGGATATGTCAAGGTCTGGATTATTACCATCAACTGCACTGGAGATGTTTGCTAACTTAGCCATAGAGAGTATGTTTTATATTTTATTTGCCTGTCATACAAATGAGAGGAGATACCTCACATTTCGTGAGAATTTACATATGTGTAAACATGCAAAACCTCAGTATTCTCTCCAGGGTGGTCAGTGGCAGCAAGTGTGATAGCTGGCTTCTTATCAGGGAGGCCTGGTTCTTTGAAAAAGGCATTATTATTCATTTTCAGTGAATTATTATTCAGTCAATGATCTTCTCTGATGATCTTTTTTTTTACACATATCACAAGTAAAAATCAACAAAGATAATGCTGGGCAAAGAAAAACATGACAATGTACCCAAAACGGTAAAACAAGTTTAGAAACTTACTTTTGCTGGGTCATTCGGCGGAAATCCAGAATGTTCTCGTTTTTTGGTGTTGCCGGTTGAAGTTTGGCTAAGTCCTGATGGTAAGTATCCAGTCTAAGTTCGCTTGTAGGCAAAATATGCTGGTCAAAATGTAATATTTTGCCAAAAGAAAAAAATCAAGAACTTGAATGAAAAACAGGAGCGTTCATGTTGAAAATTTGGAAATGGAGTCAGTGGAAAAAAAAAATCTCTTGTGTAGGATTAAAGCCTTTCCTACAGCCGGTACCCCTCCTTCCCACCCTGAAGAACAATGGGTGTGGACGTGTGGTAGAATCTGGTCTGTTATGGTGGCCACAGTCTGCTCTCGGCCGTCCCAAGAAGCGTTTAAAGGCTACGCATTGCTTTATATATGCTACATACAAACATTGTGTCTCCTGTGATACTTCAGAGCTAAAACAAAACAGCACTATGTGCCATTATGTCTTTATGCCTTTCATTGCACTGTTATTGTCCCATCCGTAATAGTGAATGTTGGGAGGGGGTCTCCTTGCTTGCCCAAGAGCAGCCTTGCACGGCTTGTGCAGTTTCCTCCACCTATAGAGACCCCATACCCCATACCAGCAGGTGTTTCCTCGGACACCTGGTTGAGCAGGACCTGCAGGTGTTTCCTCGGACACCCGGTTGAGCAGGACCAGCAGGTGTTTCCTCGGACACCCGGCTGAGCAGGACCTGCAGGTGTTTATTCTTTTTTTTTGATGGGCCTCGTGGCCCTTTCTGCGTTTTGGGTGCCATCTACCCTCGGCCTGTGTTGGCAAGCAGCGCATCTTGCATCGCTGCTTTGATGGAGGTGGGACAAAATTTCAAAGGAGTCTCCCATAAGGGGGGGCTGTCAGGTTCCGGGACATTGCAGGTAAATGTCAGGATCATCAAATTTGCAATCATTTGCAATCATGCACAAAGATGCACCACAAATGGGTTTTCCCTTTAATTGTTACATATTGGGTCCCTGAATATGAACGGATTGCAAAGCTTATTTATGGGATGTCAGCCATAATACAGGGTTTAGCAGGATAAGACCGATGTTCTTTTTTTTTAATCAAAACCCTATAGTGGAAAAGGATTTATGAAGTTTAGATTTAACCAGTATTTAACCAGTATTTAATAGTCTATGTCGGTGAATGGTTGGCATTTGTGTTGGCCAAGCTTGTGACTGGATGGGTCTGACCCTATCCTGGTCTCTCCCTGGACCTGGGACTGTAGGAAAAGCTATGAGATGAAAACCCAAAATGTGCCCCTTTCCAGGATATTAATAGAAATTTATTGTAACATAAATTTTATGAAAAATATTTAATGCTCTCAGCGGGCTAAGCCTGTGTGCCTGTGTGCCTGTGATCGGAAGGTCGCCAGTTCGAACCCGCCGTCGGCACGTCTGTGGGCCCCTGAGCGAGGCCCTTAACCCCCAGCTCCCTGGACGCCGCAACAGGTGGCTGCCCTTCACTGCCAAGCTCGCTCTCACCTATGGAGATAATTTCCCCATAGGGATCAATAAAGTATAATCAAAAATTTTAATATGTGTATACTGAGGAGTTACTGCCATGGTTGTTATTAGTTAGGAAATGGACATTCAGTCCAAGACATTAACCTGTTTATAAAATTACACTTTTAACTGCTGTCATTTTAAAAGTTTGGTTTTAAACTATCTTTTAGGACTTGGACACTAAATGAGGTCATGTGGTTCCTTTGCGATTGATACAGGTCTGTAAAGAGTAAGATGCAAGACATGAGGAGTTAAATAAAATGCCTGATACTAGGCTGGGGCAATCAATCCAGTGCTTTGCAGCCACATGTTACAGTTTTTACAAATATGTAAAATATGTAAAAACTGACCCCGCCTGCCCCCACCCCCCAGAACTGTCCCTGAGTCAATCCCTTTTGACTTTCTCATTCAGGCATTATTGTAGTTTTATATATTCAGTAGTTTGTTATAGTATGAAGTTCTATGCGACCAAAATTAGAACTGCATTAAAAGAAAGGAAAAGTTTTTTTGTGATTCGCTGAACACTTCTGGGGCGTGGGGGGGGCTCAGAAACTCATAGAACTGCCATAGAAATTATAACAATTATTTTAAACATTCCTGGGCTGCTACAAATTATAGGAAGGATTTAGAGTAATGCTGATCATGTACCTGTGAGGAGGCGAGATGGCTGCTGTGCTCAGTCTGGCTGGCTGTGACAGGTGTGACCCTGATGGCAGGTCTGTGCTGCTCCACCCTGGCTGTCAGAGTGCTGTAGTCAGGGGGTCCCACGGCGGACTGTCTCTGCAGCAGCTCCAGGATGGCCTGAATGTCCGACGTCATCTGGGACTCCAGCCTGCCATGCCACATGTGTGTTCACTGATCAGTGCTGCGCGTCTTTGGACATTTTATGACAGTTCTATTAACTGGAAGTACAAGAAGCTCAAGCTTTTTATGGGACCTTGGAAGAAGTTGTTTGAGGGCAAAGAAATCGATGTGTTACAATTCGTGGATCTCAAAGACACCACATTGCATATTGTTCACGTCCATAACCGGCCTAAATATTGTTAGGAACGAAACATGGAACGCAAATAACTCAGTGACCCATCATTATTTGTTCAATAAAAAGTAAGGAGTTATTTTCACACTGCTGCTCAATTCAAGCTGTTCCCTACCTTGTGTTAATATCACAAATAAACACAAGGGGGAGCCAGTGCTCTAAAAATTTCCCAGGCTTCTCCTTCCATTGAAGATGCCCTGTTCTGTGATTCTGTTTTTTGGCAGATTCACTTACAACAATGCTGAGTGTATTTTATTGTAACCCAAACTTAAAAGTTATATATACATACAAGCAAATCCATCCATCTATCAATGTCTTGGATGGTACACCAGTCCGTCTCCAAACAGACACAGAAACAGGCACTAAATGTACACCAATCAGCCATTGCATTAAAAACCACCTGCCTAATACTGTGTAGGTCCCCCTCGTGCAGCCAAACCAGCTCTGACACACCGAGGCATGGAATGGACTCCACAAGGCCTCTGAAGGTGTCCTGTGGTATCTGGCACCAAGACGTTAGCAGCAGATCCTTTACGTCCTGTAAGATGCGAGGTGGAGCCTCCATAGATCAGACTTGTTTGTCCAGCACATCCCACACATGCTGGATCGGATTGAGATCCAAGGAATTTGGAGGCCAAGTCGACACCTTGAACCGTTTTTCATGTTCCTCAAACCATTCCTGAAAAATTGCCACTGTTACTGAGGAATACCGTTGCCATGAAGGGGTGAGCTTGGTCTGCAGCAGTGTTTAGGTAGGTGGTACGTGTCAAAGTAACTCCCACATGAATGCCAGGACCCAAGGTTTCCCAGCAGAACATTGCCCAGAGCATCACACCGCCTCCGTTAGCTTGCCTTCTTCCCATAGTGCATCCTGGTGTCATCTCCTCCCCAGGTAAACGACGCACCTGCACCTGATCATCCACATGATGTAACAGTCATCACATCAGGTCACCTTCTTCCATTGCTCCATGGTCCAGTTCTAGCATTCACATGCCCAGCAAGCAGTGATTTACTGTATGTCCTGTCACCTTTCTATCATATCCAACATAAACGTTTTCTGCGATTAGCTCTACAGTAGCTCCCCTTTGGGATTGGAACAGACAGCTAGCTTTCGCTCCCCATGTGCCTCAGTGAGCCTAGGATATCCATGACCCTGCTGGTTCACTAGTTGACCTTCCATGGACCACTTTTAGTAGGTACTGACCACCACGTATCAGGAACACCCCACAAGACAATGGACAGTGGAAATGGTTGGAATCAGTCGTTTAGCCATCACAATTTGGCCTTTGTCAAAGTTGCTCAGATCCTTACAATTGCCCATTTTTCCTGCTTTCAACATATCAACTTCATGAACTGACTGTTCCCTTGCCTAATATATAGTGATACTCTTGACATGTGCCATTGTCAGGATAATCAATGTTGTTCACTTCACCTGTTACTGCTTTTACTGTTATAGCTGATCGGTGTAAACTGGGGAATATATAAGAAAATACAACCTCATGTTAGCATTGTAGCCACTTCTCGGTAATTGACCTCTTTGCGTTCCTCATGTTTGCTTTCTTTTTTCTCACTGACATACAATCCAGTTATTTACGTTCTACGGCGGCCACAGACTGAGCTTTGGGCCCTGACTTAGCTTGCTGTGACAGAGCAGTAAAACAGGCAGGCAGGAACGGCCTCACTCCAGACTGCGGACGGCGGAGGAGCAGGCCGGGCGAGCAATTATGACGGTGCCGTTTTTACCGTTGCCGGCCACTATTCCTCCGGAGGTGACACATAAAAGGGGACACGTTGCTAAATGGAGCCACTGCGGGCAGCCTCCAGCCTCTGCCAGAGCAAAATGGGTGCGTTTGGTCAGAGACGGCGGCGGGGCAGAGAGGGGGAGGGGATGGATGCAACTGGAACGTCAGGACCCTGCACGAGCCCGGCACCCTCCAGCCTCTTCCACTGCAATCACGGTGGCTAAAAATAGCAGCAGGCGTCCCGTCACGAATCTTCTGTTACATGTGCACTCAGCTGATTTCACAAAAAAAAGTGAAGAAAATTATATTTGATGAGCTGGTAAATATTAACTATGAACAAAGGACTGTGTCGTTGTGATTGTCCATCCATCTTCTATAACCACAGCGAAACAAAATAAGCATGCTATAGTACACAGAAGAACTGCCTCACGAGCAACAAGAGGGTACCAATCCCAGAATGCCCCTGGCTCAGACAGGAGAAAGAGGAGCAGGCACTCACCTGTTCAGGTGCTCCTGCAGGAGGTCCAGTCGGTGCTCCACTTCCCCGTACGTGATGTCGCTCTCCGTTTCGTCCGCGCCCTTTGAGTCTTGGGATTGCCCCAACTCATCAATACGGCCCATCAGCCTCTCACAAGCCCATTCTTCACCACGACGATCTTCCGCAGGAGCGAGGGGGAGGAACACAAAAACACTTTGCATACAGGCTGATTCATGACCAAACAGGATGCCACAGCAATGGAGAGCGATTAATCTTCCCTTGTCGGCTTTATATATTAGTCAGCCGATGGTAATTCATTAAAGTTTGCGCTGCCGTGTAATCTCAGTGGTCCCACGGACAGACCAGAGTCGTTATCTCTGCCAGACACCTGTAAACAGTCGCCGCACGATGACCAATGGGATCAATTGTCCCCCTGCTGGTGACTGATGGCTCACTGCATGGCTTGTTTGTGGTGCCAATACATTAAAAAAAAAAAAACAGCTCAAGTTAGTGTTAATCACGCAGTAGCTAGCTGCATGGAGTTCCCTGGGTACACTTACAGTAGACATTCACAGAACTTGTAGATCAGAGGACAAATGTACTTATAATGGCACCAATTTCTTACAACTGCTCTCATTAATAAAAAAGTTACTGCACACAAAATTCCAGTTTCAGTACAGTGTTACAGTGCAAAGGCAGGTATGGGCATTTCAGGTCCAGAGGCTACAAATTCAGACCAAGATTTTGTTTCTACTAACCAGTTGAGTATGATGAATCACAGTCACAGAGTACTCACCTGGTTGGTAGAAACAAAATCTTGGTCTGGATTTGTAGTTTCTGGATCTGAAAAGCCCAGCACTGTGTAAAAGACTGGTGCATGCAATAATGTAATGAGATATTAGTCATGTTTCAAAATCTTATATATACTCACACAACAGTATTCAACTAATGATGTTTTGATGATGCGTTTACAGTTATGTAGAAAATAATTGTCTTGAGTCCTGAGACGAAATGTGTGTGTTTTTTTTCCTTTAGAGAACATAATAATAGTATCATAGTGAGGGGCTTTTAGGCATGATTTAAGCAAGTAATTTCTATGATGTATGAATACTGCACATAAAAAAAGAAAATGCAGGTGGAGTTGATCTGGGGAGCTGCCGTCACAGGGACACTGCCCTGAGGGTATTTACAAACGCGCTTAAATGACAAGATCGCGTACGTATTTTTAGGTCTTCCCCACATGCTTCTAGTCAAGGTGATTCGTTCTTCTGAAGACCTATTTATACTGCAGCAGCTAATTGTTCTGCTCAAGTTCTGTCCTGGAGTTACAGGGAACTAAGGCCGGTCCACTGGAGGGCACGCACAAGCTGCACGCTAAAAGCAACTTAGGGACACCACACCAGCATGTGCTTGGGCTGTGGGAGGAGACACAGGTGATCATGGGGAACACAAAAGCTTCATGTACACAGAGCAGGGTGTGGGATCCGAACCTACAACCCTGGAGGTCCCTGTGCATGTAATGTACAGATGAAATGAGCATATTAGTAGTATGACACTAGATTTACAGGACAGATTTGGTCAGCATAAGCAGGTACAGCACTGCTTCTTGTAAAACACAATGACCACCATTCAATGTGCTTTTTTCCTTGCTTGTAGGTCGCTTTGGACAAGAGCGTCTGCTAAATATGTAAATGTACTCATTTTAATATATTTTAATTCTGTTTTGAAAGGGGTCAAAAGATTTTGCAGGATGTACTCTCATCTTTTGGGAACAGGTTGTACTTCTCCACTGCAAAGGTAGTTCTGTACTTTGCTGTCATCCGAGGAGCGCTGCTTGTTTGTGGCGATGCGACATTAACATCCCCAGATAAGATGGAATTGGGACAGACAGCACAAATCAGGGGCGATTTTGATGCAGGGGGCAAAATGGCAGATTTTCTTAAAGCCTCTGAACGGAGAGTGTGGTGACTTAAGCTTTCGTAAGAGCCGACTTCGCCGAGGATTTTCCACGTGCACGTTTCGCTTCACCGTGCGATGCCGGGGATTCTGCCGTGGATTAACGGCGGGTTTGATCTGTCCGATGGCTCACACTGAGGTTTGTGATTCCGCATGCAGAGGCCGGCTTGATCTCAGTCAATCGGCGAACTCTGCAGTCTTTGCTGGGTTTTGGGACTTTGTGTTAAATATATTTACTGCAAGATGAAGTCTGCAGAGCGGCTCAGTGGATAGGGAATTGGCTTCAAGCCTGCAGAGTTGGTGGGTTTAATTCTGCCCTCAGCTGGGTGTGTGTGTGTGTGTGTGTGTGTGTGTGGATTATGTTTATATTACATTGTAGGGAACTAATGTCCCCCCACAATGTAATAAAAGCCTGTTATTTTGACATGGAGGGGACCATTTTTCAGGTCCCCACAAAGATCTGTGAATGCAATCAAAAAACTAAAAATCCCAAAAGTCCTGTATTTTGTTTGGCTACTTATGGTTAAGGTTAGGGCTGGGTAGGCATTAAGGCTGTCATGTTGGGATTAGAGTTTTCCCCATAGAAATGAATGGAGAGACCCCACAAGGATATAATTACAAACCTGTGTGTGTGTGTGTACTGTATACTGTATATATATATGGTTTGATTAGACAGCAACACACACACACACACACACATTCCATGTTCTCTCTGATCATCTGATTTTCCTCCCAATGTCCAAAGGCATTAGGCTGAGGGCATTGATGTCTCTAAAATTACCCTTGGTGTGTGAATGAGTGCCCTCTGATGGACTGGCATGCCATCCAAGGTGTGCCCAACCTAGTACCCTGTGGTTCCAGGGACAGGCTCCAGGCTCACAGCAACCCTGTATTAGATAAACAGGTACAGCAGCTCAACATCTTCAGCTAGACCAGGAGCTTCTGTCCTGCATGTTGCATTTTTATTGGATGTAGATGTCTGAGAATCATATGATGATGATGTAATAATCATATGATGATGATGTAATAATCATATGATGATGATGTAATAATACTGTTGTTAATCCAGATGTTGAGGCAGACAACAAACGTTACCCTTGATAGTCACGAAACAAGTGTCTTTTTTGTGTTCAACGTGGGAAATTGACTTTGAGTATAAATGGGAACAAGATACCTTTGAATAACTGACTCTGCTCCAGATGGTGTCTTGCATGGATGTCAGTGGTGTACTTTAGGTCCGGACTAAGGCTCTGGTCCCGTACTAAAGGGTAGCCCTGGATCCCGGTACACAGAGGCCTCTGCTCCTCCTCCTCCTCCTGGCCGGTGTCACCTCTGTCCTCGGAGTCCCTCCTTGGGTAGAAGTACTGCTCTGCACCAGCCTCGCTCAGTCCATCATTGTTTCCTCCTAAGGAATGGGAGCCAGCACGTGTGTGGATGAGCCTCACCAATCCAACATTATGACTAAGCATCGAGCCAATCATTCTCAACCCAGTGCTCACCCCCCCGAATTCAGGCATGATCTGTGTCACCAGTCAAACATCTACTTTTCCCAGGGTTGCCAACTCTCACACATTTGGTGTGACACTCACGCTTTCACACTCTCACACTCGCGCAAGAAATCTTACAGCAAATCTATATTATTTTTTATAAACCTAAAATTAGCTACATCAAAAGTGTTGGGGTAGTTTGCAAACCCTGCACAATATTTACAAAGTAATAAAACTGTTGCATACATTTAAATGCATCTGCAGACTTGTCTCTAACTGAAAATCTCACTCCAACCAGCTGACCAAAGTTGGCTGTCCTGACTCTTACTCATCTGGTAATTATGAAGTCCCCAATTGCATTGGTTGCCGTGAATATTGGTAGCTTTTGAAAAAAAAAAAAATCAGCATTTGTACTTAAATATGTTCACAGTACTGTTATGTAGTGACAAAGTTGTGCAGTAACAGCAACCCCAGAAATGTAACTGAATGCCGATGCCAATTTCTCCCTGAGCACAGTTTGTGCAAATGAAAACATTTGTGATTGCAGCTGAAATCTTAGTTACATCAACAATTGCTCTGCAGTGGCAGAACTTGATCGGCATGGTTCCACTGCACATAGTGCATGCTGGGATTTTTTTCCCCCTGCTCACAAGTGTCCCTTATAGACCAATGAATGCCAGCTGCTAGCATATAACTAGCCACTATAATGCAACAGAGAGGACAGAACAATTACTGTGTTCAGGGTTAACGCTCTCACACATTTCTGTTTGATCTTTCTTGCATAAATAAAGCTTGTGCAGGTCTTTCTGACAAACTAGTCTTATGTACAATTGTGAACCTGAATGAAAATGGGACAACAAAAATAAAAACGAGGGCTTGGTTCTACAATGCAAAATTAATAATTTACATTCTTATCTAAAAATGACAAACGATTTCTGAGCAATTGTGTCAATATGGCTCCAATGTTTTACAAAGGCAAACTCAAGATGGATTGTCACCTACCATGCGATGGCTTTTGCATAAAGGAAATATTTCTTCTGAATCTGACACTGTCCCCATCCGACTCACTGCTGTGTGAAAAATTAGCCTGCCAAACAACCGTTAACGTGTAAGTCAAAGACCCAGAAACACACTAGGGCATCAATCTCCTGTCGAAATATAATTTAAATGTTGCAAACCAAGTGCTGTATTGTTGTTTACTTGCATATATATTTATTTAGGTTGACTGAGGTTATGTTCTCCATTACAGTATTACTCACTATAATCAAAATATAATATCAATCTCTTTAGATTAAACATATTGCAGTACCTGTATTCTGTTTTGGTTTGCTGGATTCATCACTGTGTGTATGTCAAACAAGTTAAATGATATCATTGGATGTTTTCCATATACCATAATATACTGCATATTCCTGACCCACATCCAAATCAATAAAAAATGTAAATAATAGATATTTTATGATATTACTGTATTATTATAACTGCGAAAAAATGTTCCTTTCAAGAATGTATGATTATGATTTTATTTGTCCGGGTTTCACATTAAGAAAGAGAAGGAGCATTTCAATTTTATGATTTTGGTGTCGGAAGCAACAGTGTGGATGCCCACCCAGGTAAGATGATACCTTAGCCGGTTCGTCCCTCAGGTTGAACGTGAGCTCCAGGTTGGTCAGGAAGTGGTCTGAAAACTCTGGATACATGTCCAGCACTTCCAGGAGGTCTTCCCTCTGGATGGTGTGCAGGTCACAGTAACTCAGTGCCCTGACATCTGCGTTGGACTTCCCAGGCTTAGCGTATTGGTGGATCATTTCACCGAAGATGTCGTTCTTTCCTGGAAGAGGGGGAGAGGGAGATGTCATGCTGGTTGGTCAGCTTCCCCATCTGTGAGTGGTATCACATAAGGTATATTGACCCCAGGGGGAAATTATTTTGCATACAGGAGCAAGACAAACAGGCAAAGTGCAGACAAACAAATATACAATACAAAACAAAACAAAGCATAAAACAGTATACATAGTGGAGACAAGTGAACATAGTCCAAATATGTTTCAAAAGCACACAATACACAAACATAACATTCTGAAAAAGAATATTAAGTAAATAAAAAGATACAAATGAAAAATAAACAAAAAGTATATGTATAATAAGAATAAACAGTTAGTGGTCATTAGTGGTATATGGTTGTTAGCGGTGTGGTTTGAGCTGTCAGGTTCTCCAGTGATTTATTATTTAAACAGATCCATGCCTATCTTTCACACTATTTACTTCAGAGAAAGGAAGTGATGAATAAAGGATGAATAACGGTCTTCGCTAAACCTTTACAGAAAACTCTTTGGCTGAGGACGAGGCGGCATTCAGCCGTGCCACAGATCTCTCGTTTGAAGAAGGCCGTATGAGGGCCCTTTCAATGATACCAGGTCAGGGGAAATGTCAAGTCCCAAGTGGCGATCTCCTTCTGAATAGTGCCGGTGGAGCTGGGTGCTACTGCAGCTGCAGGTGTCCCCCACAAAGTGTCCCCCCTCCCCTACAAGTGACACATAGGACCCAAAAAAGAGCATGAGCCCCAGTGTGAAAGCAGAAACTCAAAATGCACCAGGGCTTCAAGCGTGATTCCTTCATGGGGAACAGACTGGTGCTACGTGGTTAAAGGGCCGTTTCACTTTTTATGTTAAAATAAGACAACGATGGGAGAGGAGAGAAGAAGATGGATGGATGGATGGATGGAAGGAAGGATGGATGGATGTATAACTTAATCCCCAGAGGGAAATTTAGGCTTCTGCATCCTGCCACCTTCTACATGCGTGAGGATAATTTCCGTTCACCAACCTTCCAGCTGTGCATCCAGTAAAGGTCTGCAGAATTAGGATATTATATTTATATTAATAATAAAAGCAATAAATTTATTGATAATTTAAATGTTCCATCCATCTTCTGATTGCTAAGCCAGTACAGGTTTGGAGGGAACATTTTGAATAATTCCGTATATTTCCTATAGCTAATGCTACAATACACACACATTTCCATTCCTCAGACCTCCAGGATTTGGTGATTCCCATCCCTGGCAATGTGTCTGTACAGTTTGCATGTTCTATGTAAAACAAGAGGAACTGATTGTTTTGATGATTGCATGTCCTCTCTTAGTTCAATTCACTTTAATAATAATAATAATAATAATAATAATAATAATCATTTCATCATCATCATAATAATAACAATAATTCACAACAGAGACATTCAAGGTGCTTGACAGGTTTCCTCAGAAGTGACCTATACAGCCGCTAAGGCCACAGCAGAGACTTGGGTGTGACCCGGATCCACAAGAGCAGAGTTCTGACAGATGGGGGAGGATACACAGATGTGTAGGTAGGGGGGCGGGGAGGGGGGGTCAAGGGATGCTTTATTTGCCAATATATGCAAATATTTGAAAAAAGTATGAGTACAAGTACTTTGGAATGCTTTGTGGCATATGCCCTCCTTTGAGACATACACGTGTAAATAGCCCGATACCAACCCTAAGCCTAACCCTACTTTGAGACATACACGTGTAAATAGCCCAATACCAACCCTAAGCCTAACCTTCCTCTGAGACCTACACGTGTAAATAGCCCAATATCAACCCTAAGCCTAACCCTCCTTTGAGACATACACGTGTAAATAGCCCAATACCAACCATAAGCCTAACCCTCCTTTGAGACATACACGTGTAAATAGCCCAATACCAACCCTAAGCCTAACCCTCCTTTGAGACATACACGTGTAAATAGCTCAATACCAACCATAAGCCTAACCTTAGAGCTAACTTTAGTAGCCCCTTTACTTATCCGGAATCATTCACTAAGGATATATAATTATGGTTTGGTTCTGTGGCGTGGTGAGACCCGTAGGGATGATCTGGATTCTGGGGGATGATGATATGGTCTTTGGTTAGACAGCAAGTGCCAAGACCATGAGCAGTTTCTCATGAACATTTTAATCAAAATGCCTTTTTTTAGCCAGAGACATGTTATTCAAAATATAGTCAAGACAGTCCATCCATTTATCTTCTGTATGCTCTTCTCCTATTCAGAGTTATGGGAGTTCCGAGCCTGCAAACACAAGGCAGGGTAACCCAAGATAGGGCACCAACCCATCACGTACCACACACACCTGCAAGGACATTGGTAACACCAATTAACGTCAGCATATTTTTGGACCAGAGTACCCAGCAGAAACCCTACGATGACATGAGGAGAACATGCAAACTCCCCAGCCTTGGTGCCATAGTGGAGACTTGAACCCTGGTCACAGAGGTATCAGTGCTAACCACTGCCCCACCACACCACACCTTGGATTTCTTCATAATCAAACAGACACAGACACGTTTGCCCAAATGCAGGCAGGTTCGCTTTTGAGAGCCAAAAGGCTAATTTGTACGTTTGCCTTAATCCCCACCCATACTTATCCCAAGGGTGCCGACAAAATCCGCCGTCCTGCTCTCCTGCTCCCCGATTCTCATTAATCCCACGAAGAATAAGTTTCTTGCCAGAGATTTAAAAAAAGCAGCGGCATAATTTATGATTGACTTCATGAATCAAATCAGATTAATTACCACATATTACCAGTAATCTGGGTGAGCCATTATCTGCCATCTGGACCTCTGGCTGGTTTGCTCTTATTTTGTGACGGATGGGCCTTTTAGACAAGGCTTAGCCTGTTTCACCTCCTATGATGCTCACTGGTAGGGAAACTATCCCCTAATTAAATACGGGGGGCGTGGTCACTGACACTGGCAGGGACACCATGGGGGCCGGGGGTCGTACAGCGTCGTTTGTCACGAAGGACTGACAGCCATGCAAAAATTACTCTTGACTCAGCAATCCTTCCCTCCCTATTTCTCTTCTTATCAGTTTATTTATTCATTCATCTTCTAATCAATCATCCAGTACAGGCTCATGGGTTTGTTTGTTTATCCATCTATCAATCCATCCATCCATCCATCCGTCCATCCATCCTTCCGTCCATACATATAAATTCAATGCCATGCCAATATGTAGCATAGTTTCTCACAGTATTTTCTTTAAACCCCCCTCCAAAAAAAAAAAAAACATTACCTTCAGATTGCCCATTTTGCTCTGCTCCAGTAAAATATCTGCCTGTTTAAATGGTACCTAAAAATAAATCTAGAAAATCTAAATGCAGGATGGAGGTAAGAAGCGCTTATATCATATCCCACCTCCCCCCTCCTCCCCACCCCCTACCGCAGAGCCAATACCCAAGCATCTGGGAGACTGTGCAGAACTCAGGGATTATTATGATACGCGAGCTGTCACATGACTGTTATGACCTTATTTGGCACCTGATTTCAGGGAATTGGACTGCTTCTACATATTAATGTGTGAACTGAGTTGACACCTGTCGAAGAAATAATGGACCTGGTTTTAGTTTGCGGATAAAGAATGTTATACTCAGGAGTCAGAACTAGTAATTTAACAGCATAAAGCAAGTGGGAAACATCATTCTTAAAAATGCATAAAATATTAGTGTGTGAGAGAAAAATGTTGATTGATGTATTAGTACAAAGTCTGAGATCTACTTTTCCAGTATTTTTCCATTGTCTTGGTGCCCAGATATTTGTCTCTAAATTTCATCCCTCCCTGCCGCTTTTCCTAAACCTGGTTCCACTCCTGCCCCCAAATTAAGCCCCAGTTCCTTCCCCCTGTGTGCGCTGTCCCACCTAGAGCGAGTCTTATGTCTGGAATACATCAAGCCGATTTTCGGCTTTCAGAAGCTGCTGGTGAGAGTCGGCGACTGCCTGTCGCGCCCGTGTGTGCGGTGCGGTCGGTCTCTGCTTGGCGCTGTTTTAGACGATTGATCATGTTGAATCGGCATCCAAGCTAGCTGGTGAATCTGAGCTCTCTGATTGGGCTATATGTCAACCATCAGCCCAAGTCATGCTGGTGTGTTCCAGCACAAATTTTGAAAATTGATGGGAGCAGTTGGCAGTCAAACATTTGTCAGTTTTGGTCAGTTTTTGCTGTCAGCTTGTTGGATTCCAGGCTTTACACGTCCTCCTCTGACTACACCTGTACCTGTACTTCATAGCATGAACAATATTACAGGTTTTCACTCTTCCTCTCCCCCTAAATCCACAGCCATCTCTGCACATTCGAGCTACTAACCACAAGCCAAACCAGTGCTAATCTACACCAAGAATGAATTATAATTCCCACTTTAATAATAACCCTGGCTCCAGCCCATGATAATGCTATTAAAGGTGCTTTGGCGAGTTTCGCTATGTGAAGATCCACACTTACACAATGGAAACAAAGCAGCCACCTACACAGAACATGCCAGGCCTTAACTGGTGGTTTTCTCAGCATCTCACTAAAGTTACACTTTCTAGTAAGATTAATGAGAAGAAAACAAGTCATAATTTATCTATAAAACAATGTACTATTATAATATGATATAATAATCTATATAATCATCTAAATCAAATGGCCGAAGTCAAACGCTTTTGTCCAATGCAACATATGGGTGAGTCAAACAGCACATTGCAAACATACATGCCAAGGAGTCAACTAGGCATGAGATTCCAATGAAGGTCAGCTAGACTGAGGTTCCATTGAATTCCAAGGTACAAGTGTAAGCAATACTGGAGCAGAAGCTACACAATAACTTCTAACAAAGCAGGAGCTTAATAAAATTATTCAATGTCCAGAAGTGCAACTGAAGAACCCAAGCAAACCTAAAGCAGCGACATCCACTCGGCATCAGGCCAGCATGGAGGATGGTGGACGATCCTCACCCAGTATCGCCACCACAATGTCGTCCTTCAGGATCTCGATGGAGCCACGGGACATGAAGTAGAGCGCAGTGAGGACGTCGCCGCTGTGGACCAGTGTGTCTCCAGGGGGGGAGTGGGTGGTCTTAAACTTCATGGCCAGGGCCCGAAGGCAGCCCTTGGTGGCCCCCCGGAAGGCTTTGCAGCTCTCTAGCAGGTTCTGGTGGAGGTGGAGGCAGATGTCTGCCTGGAGGCATTCTGGGAAACCTTTTAGGACCTGAGCAGAAAACACAGTTGCGCTGTAGCTACAGTGAGACACGTGTTCTTTCCCAACCTGGTTCTCAGGGACCCCCAGACAATCCGTGTATTTGCTCCCTCCCTAGCTGAAGCAAAAATGTGGACTGTCTCATAGGGAACTGGGAGGGAGCAAAAATGTGGACTGTCTCATAGGGAACTGGGAGGGAGTAAAAATGTGGACTGTCTCATAGGGAATTGAGAGGGAGTAAAAATGTGGACTGTCTCATAGGGAACTGGGAGGGAGTAAAAATGTGGACTGTCTCATAGGGAACTGGGAGGGAGTAAAAATGTGGACTATCTGGGCGTCCCCAAGAACTGGGTTGGGAAATACTTGTTGTAGGGGACACTACCTATCACATACTGTGCCAAAAGAATAGCTAAAGTTCATGTGGCCATAATAATGGATTGGCATTTTTAGAATGTATTTCGGAGGAAGTCACCTCCATTCTCAGACTACTTTTAGTTCTAAGAACCTACAGTAAATTCAGATTTTATCAATCATCAATAAGTTAAATTTCTATTTCCAATTGCGGAAGCTGCAACTGTTTTATGTTTTCTTTCAGCTGATCAATTAACAAAATTCCTGGCTTTGAAAACAATACCCTGAATATGCTAATATCAGATTTCCATAGCCTAGTTTCAGTTATGCTTCAGTGAAATACTAAATGGTAGCTTTTCTCATGAGGTCAGATTTTGTAAGGCTGAGATCTTGGGGTGTCCCTCTGCTACAGCCAACAAGTATATTTGCGATGTTGTGATGTGCTGTAATGCTCTGATATCTTTGATAGCTTCAGTAACACTGTAACAAGTAAAACTCAGTAACACATTTAACGATTCAATAGGAACAAATCATTTGTTGCTGCATGTTTTGTGTAACTGATAAATAACAGCGGCGGAGCTTGCTTTTATCATTTTGAGATTAAAAAACATTTTCCAGAAGTTAATGTCAACTAATAAAATGCAAGACTACAGTACTTCCTTATGCAAGACTCCTTACTATACATCCATACTTACAATATCAGTGCAAATAGTACCCTTACTAGAAATTAGGTTTTTCTATGGCTTCGAGCAAGTGTACTTTTGATTGGTACAGCACTGTATATGAAAATTTATATTTTGTATTAAAGTATATTAATAGCTACCTTCGGGAAAATGTTATATTAATACACAAACCATTGGGGTAAATGATTGGAATTTTAAAGTACAAGAATAACAGCCATATCCCCCATTTACTCTGAATAAACTTAGGCAGGGCTTACATGCAGGACACACAGCAGATGTGCTAAAAATTACAGATGATAAGGGTTTCAGTCTCAGAATTTGCAGAAATAACCGAGCTTTCTAGTGAAACAGGATGCATTAGTCTGGTAATTCAAACCCACAAGTATGGATGCAAATAACCTGCTGAGCGTGAAAATGGGACTTGCTCTTTGGAGATGGGTGCTGAGACATTTTAAAAGGAGAGGTCTGCTTTTGGTGAGTTCAGACGCCTCTTAGATGCATGCCGAATTAAGGCGAGGGCTACTGAATTCAGGCAGATTTGTTTGGTCTCTGATGCAGTAGCAAAACGCATAGTTCGCCTGCAAGGTTGGCCTTGTGGAACCAGCCAGCCTGTGACATATGCAGATGGCTCTCAGCTCAGAGCAGTTCCCTAATTAGAAGGCACATGCATGCCTTTGAAAGTTCAGTATTCACACATTGGGAGGAAAAAGAAAACTATGATGTTTAGGAGCACAGCTGGCACGTGGCCCAGGCAAACCTGGCATTTGCTGGGGGCGCTAGACCACTAGGGGTGCCCCGGGAGCAAATTTTCTTTTTACTGGGTGGTTTGGGAAAAGGCATTTATATTCATGATAGAATCTACCTGATTGGCAGGTGAAAGTGCTCTCATCGACATGTGCTACCTGTTTTTTCAAGGTGGTTCTGGAAAACTAATTAATATTCATGATACCTGATTGGCAAATGAGCTCTGTCTAAGGCATTCACTGGCCAATCAGATAGTGCTTCTCGCATGACTATTAATGAGTCTCCCTGAACCACCCTGTAAAGCAAAAATTGCGATAATTTTGCAAAAACACTTTATGCCGCCATCTTGGTGCATTGTTAGTCATGATAATGGAATACTGTGACCGCATGAATGCAAACAAGTCGAATACAGCTTTATTGTCACGCCAATCATATTCAGTACACTGCATACTGTGATGCAAAATAACATTTTATAAAAGCAAAATAAATAAAACAAAATATATAAAGAGAAAACAGATATTATTGGATGCGACCCATACACATTGAAAGCAAAATATTTGTGAGCCGTGCGCTGTACGCTGTAAAGATAGTGTTAATTATCTGCTGGTTTTTCAGATGTTGTGATTAACCCTGAAGCAAATGAAAGCAACTAAGTTTTGAGGATTGATTTATTTCTGGCAATAGCTGCAGAAGAATAGTGTGCACGGAATATATCAAAGTATTCACATGTACAGTAAGTACAAGTATAAATCTCATACTTCATCATATATTATTATTTATTGCCATCTTATTTTTGTCATAAAGTTCTGCAATTACATTGCTCTATGCTATAATGTTAACATTACGGTGTTGTGCCATTTGCCATTGTTATTAAAACAGTTCTGGTATGATTGTACATAAGGTGTTTTAAAGTGTTTTAAAGGTAAATTGCTGATCAATTCATTTTATCCCTGGATGTGGGGCTTTCATTTAGCTGAAGGGACTGTGAATTGATTCTTTTTGTGTTCTTCCCCTGATGCGTATGATGCTGTCATACTCGTCACACTGCGGTGTCCCAATTTTAAAGTTATCGTTATGATTTACAAAGTGATCTCCAGAAACTCTGACGCTGAGATCTGCTTTTATGATGCTGTGTAACCATCACTGGCACCACTCACCAGATAAATCTTAATGTCTCCTCTCTGGATCGGTTTTTAAAATGATTTTTGTACAATTTTGTCGAGAGCATCGTTGTTGTTGCAGCCGACACAACTGGCTATGACAAACTCAGCAAAACAGCACAGATCGTACACCAGAGTTCCCCAGATCTCCCTGCTGAAACACAGCTGAATAAGGCGTGTTTGAGCAGAGAAATCTGCAAACTGTGTTGCAGACTGGCCCTCCAGGACCGGAACTGGGGAACCCTGCTGCACACACCAGCTGCGTCCCAGTTCAGAGGCTGCATCTTTTGAAGAACACGGTCAGTGTAGCTTTTGTAGGCTGCATCCTTCTAAAAATCCACGCAGTGGATGCTGGGATAGGGTGAGCCGCAAAGGAACCATCAGGTGGAAAAGAAGGACGCATTTCTAGGCCGCATTGTTGCGCTGCTGTGTTGCTTTCGGTCTTCGAATGCAGCCTATGAAGGCTGCAGCCTCAGAAATGGGACTCAGCCACAGATTATCGTGCATCAGACAGGAAACTGTGCACCAAGATGGCGGATGATGGCCTCTGCAAAGTGTGGGTGCTACAGTGTGATGTCACTTGCAACCCTCTGTTTCTTGGTTGGGAGGGGGTGGCACTTGTTAGTTTTTGCTTGGGGCACGTGATTGGCATGTGCCAGCCCTTATTAGGAGCTGCTAAGTTGAACTGTATTCCAGGATTAGTACATTTCTGGAAAAACAAACAAGCACTCCCTTCATAGACAAAGATTGTCATATACAAAACCCTGCTCTCCTGTATATGCTGATGAAAGTAATCTATTGAAGATTATCTCTGCCATATATTCTGATATGAAAAAAGCTGAAGGCTGACCAGGCAACTGCTCTTGTCTGCTAAGACATGCTTGGCCGGCGAGATGTTTTATAAACAATTAGGAGGGATGCCTGGATCATCAAAAATAAAGGTGTTTTCTTATACAATTTGTAAAACTGGCAATCATTTTCATTCTCACATAAATACCTCCTGCTCTTACCCGAATGGTGAAGTCATTCCGTTCAAAATGAAGCAAACAGGAAAAAGACAAGTTTGTTATAAGAACAGTGAATTTAAGCATATGGAAATCAGCCTGGGAAATAGATGGTGTTGACATTTTTAGGCGAGAAAATGAAGAACTCGCTATGTTGTGGTATTCGGGGAAAGTAGCTGTGAATATTAAATGCTCAGAGAGGAGTGAGGGAAAAAGAAAATTCCAGGCTCAGTTAAGATCCACGGGGCTCTCGATTGTGGATAATCAGGTGGCCGTGGAAGAGGGCGGCGCGTACCATGTTCATGTCGATGCCGTTGGTGTAGGTCCAGGCGTGCTGAAAGTACTCCTCCAGGCGCTGCCGCAGGGGGTTGGGGATCTGGTGGAAGCGGATGAACTCTCGTACCCGCAGCATCTGCGTGTGGTAGCGCGCCGTGCCCGAGTACAGCCGCTGGATGATGGCCGACACGTTGCCGAAGATGCTGGCGTACATCAGGGCTGAAGAGAAACAGGACAGGGTGGGCATGGGGGGGCAACCATCCCAGTGACAGGAATGACTTTTGAGGTAGATTACCGCGTGCTGTGGCTGACTGCAATCAAGGTGATTAGCGCTGCCTATAATTAACAGGTGTGTGAATCTGGTGCCGGCTTGAGGTGAAGGTTTACATTTAGGACAGCAGGGGGCGACGCAGTAGCTGTGAAACTCAACACGGCACCAAAATGTTGCAGGTTCTCCATCAAAATTATTGCCCTGAAGTAGTAAGTTGATATTAGTTAAGTGCTGGAGACATTTGTAATAATTAAATTCAGCTATTAACTGGGTAGCCTTTGATCTCCAGACTTTGGTCGAGCCTTGTGTGTATGGAGCCTGTGTTTTATTTTTTAATTTGCAGATACTTTTATCCAGTGCTTAACATGCAAATCAGAAGGTGCCGGAATACGAAGATGCGGACACAGGTACTGTACAAAACACGGTGCTGATGCTCTGTATTTTTAAGAATAAATCTAAACTAATAAAGAACTAAAATTGCATGAAAATTGATTAGCAAATACATATTAATTATTATTGTTTTCTATGTTATTGTTTTTTTTAACTAGAGAGCTGCCATATCAGCGCAAATAGGCTCCGGAACGCAGACGGTCAAAAACAGAGAGGTCCTGGAAGGCATTCCGGAACAAATTAAGAACTTTGCTTTTATCCAAAGTTATGTACATTTGCAAAAGCAGGGTCAGACAATCCCTGGACCAATTGGGGGTTAAGGGCCTTCCTCAGACGCCCCAATAGCAAAATTACTCTGTTGACCATGGGGCTGAAACCCATGACCTTCTGATCATGGGTACAGTATGCAAACCCAGAGCCACACACCGTCCTGTTTGTATAGTTTTTCTCCAGCTACTCCTGTTTAGGAAAACTGGTGTCTCAAAAATGTTTGTGCGGCGGTGAGTGTGGGCCAGCATGTAGCCAATAACGGATTGGCACCCCATCCAGGATATCCTCTGCCTTGAGTCCTTATTTCCTAAGACAGGCTCCAGACTCACTGCGACCCTGTATTTGATGGCAGGTGGGTGGATGGACGTTTCATAACCGATTTATAATCTGCACCAAGTGTAAAATGAGACCCACACAATGGCAAGAGTAAAAGAAGAACATGGTGAAACGTTCATTCTTTTTTGTCATATCCTAAGGAGGAAAAAGTGCCTGCAAACCAGACTCACAGCCAATCAGCATGACGCATATGGAGAAGATCTTCTCAGAGTTGGTGTTGGGCGAGACGTTGCCAAAGCCGACGCTGGTCAGGCTACTGAAGGTGAAGTAGAGCGCCGTCACATACTTGTCCTTGATGGAGGGCCCAGAGTTGGGGTCGCTGTAGTTGTAGTTCTTCCCGATGGACACGCCCAGGTTATCCAGCCAGCCGATGTTGTGCTCCAGGTACGGCTTCTCCACGTTGCCGATTGCGTACCAGATGCAGGCCAGCCAGTGGGCGATGAGGGCGAAGATGCACATGAGCAGCATGAGCACGGCGGCTCCGTACTCCGAGTAGCGGTCAAGCTTCCGGGCCACGCGGACCAACCGTAGCAGACGAGCCGTCTTCAGCAGGCCAATCAAAGTGGTCGTCTGGAAACAGAGGGGTAGGCGGGGCAGGTGACTTAGGGACTAATGAGGTTTTAGTAAACCTACAATTTTAACATATTGTAGCCAATGGCAGAAAGGCACCTAAAAATGATCCTCTGCATATCCAATGGGTGACACCGGGGACTACACAGAAAAAAAAGCAAACGTACAAAGCTTTTAAAAATATAACAAAAGGAAATATAATCCCTGCAAAAGAGATTCGGACGTAATATTCTCAGAAAGATTATTTTACGCAAAAAAACCCTGCACTTTTATTGCCCCAAAACGATCAACCTTTGAGTGAAACCCAAAGCGCTGAAACTGTTTTCCCTGCTGTAATAAATGTGGAGTTTCCCTCGAGATGCCGAAGCTCCCGTTATGTCAGCAGGATTGTTGCGGGTGGCCAGCATGATAATGACAAGAACTTTCCGGTGGTATATAAAAAAAACTGCTGCTGAATAACTACTCCAAACTAAATACTGTGCAGTAATTACCACCATTCAGAGGCCATTCGTTTCAGACAGGCGAAAAAGCCACAGGAACCTGCGGATAAAAATCTATGCAAAATTCTATCTATAAAATTTTATAAAATTATGTCAAAATAGAGGAAGAAGGGTGGCTTAGTGTAGCGTCGTTTTCTCCCACCCCCTAACACCAGGGGTTCAAATCACACCCCCACTATGCATGTGTGTCATCTATGTGTCGAATGGGTCTCACTGCCCAGTGTGGCCTCTTTGGTTACAATGCATGTGTAGTAACATAAAATCAGACCAGCTGCAAGTATTTGCCCAGGCTTTCTTTGTACATACAGTAGATACCTCATTATGTCGGCTATAAATAACTCCTCGCATATACAGGAAATGATACTGATGGAAGCAGCATCTTGCATCGAATGATGAACATTGGAGGTATTTAAATAGAGTTTCCATAGTTCTCACTAGAGCAGCGTCATACAGTACGGTTGGAAAACGCTGATACCCATAGCTTGTCGACAAGCTACAGATACCTACTATTGTATGAGGTCTGACGGTATTTGCCTGTTTTCCACTGTACAGGGCACATCATGACCCATAAGCAGGGACGGACATTGCACATTAAATAAGTACGCATTTACACTGTTACCACAATCGATTGTCACACGTATCGTTTTAAAAGGTGAATTCGTACTTGTGGACTAGTTATGTCCATCCCTGCCCATAAGTCTCACATCATTAAGCCTGGTTATCTATACAACCGGCTTATAGTGTAAAATTTGACTTTGGGTCATCCACAGAGGATATATATTGCGTATCTTATCCTATACCCCTGGTAATATTGGCACGAGACCTACAAAGCTCCCATATGGTAAAGTACAGTTCCCTTCTGTTTTCTGAGACCCCAGCTGTGCCCTGATAAATGTAAATGTGAATTAATTACCCTGGCTGCTGGAGATGAATACATGCTATTTTCTCAGAATGGTTCGATCAATAAAATGAACAGATAATCATCACCAATTAATTATTAACAGTGGAGGGAAATAGCCTTTCTGAAAATAAATGGTTATGCCAGGCCTAGCATGTTATATTACCTGCAGCAAGCACATAAATGACCATAGATCTTGGGAAATGCTCTATTTGTTTATGAATAAGAAAGGTCAGGATGTAGTGAACAAATTAAATATGTCGTTGGCTCACATGTCTGCAGTTTGGGATTTGAATTCCAGCTGTTCTCTTTAGACGTATGGAGTTTGCTTGTATCTCCATGTCATGTTTGTTTCCTACAGTATATGTATCTGGGTTCCTCTTCTGCAGTCAGGCTAATTGGCACATCCAAATTTCCCATAGCATGAAAGTAGGAGAGTCTGATTCTGTATTACAGTGTCTCAAAGATTATGAATAAAATATGGGCACTCCTTCAATCTCCAACATCTCAAGCGATGCTAATATCTTCATCACGGCTACTCTTCACAGGGTGAGAAGAGTTTTGTCTGTGTGACATAAAGTCAGATCAGGTTTCTTCAGCTACCCCCAAATTCCAAATTAGCATGAGGGTTTAGAAAGCACGGAGCGCAGGATTAGCACATGCTGCCCGTCGCTGCCCCATTCAGACCAGTGGCAAGTGGGTTGAACCAGTCGGCAGCTGAGAGCACAGAATACATCCCATCCACCGCAGCCTTTGACGTCTCATCTGACCCATCGCCACTCCAAGGGAGCAGATGTCTTCTCCATAATAAACTGATTCCTGATTTTGAAGTTCACACATGGTCAACAGTGAGGAGTGTTTTTTTTTTAATCTAAAATATTTAAGTGGGATATTAAGAATAAAATCCATGCACAAGCTGTATGGATGCTATTCATTCGGCGTAACAGCCTGGGTCTATTAAACCCATCAACAAGAATTGCACTTAATTACTAATAAAAAAAATGTGACAATTAGGAACTTTCATATACACAGCTGCAAATCAGACTAATTAATTCTTATATCATGCAAATGTGTGATTTTAAGTAGTGTTTGAATTTTATTTGAATAATTCTCACCCCTTATTATGATACAGCAAATCAAACAAATAAAAAATCTCCACAATAAGAAAAGGAAATTAACTGATTTATAAACCTGGCTACTCTGGGTTTTGGCTTTGCAGAAAGTAATTGAGAAATTGCAAGATAACCAGAACCACCCCAAAGACAAAGTAAACTGAAGCAGTCATTTGTGCTCCAATGTCACTTGTCCTGGAGCCTATGACAGGAAGAAAGACAGGGTAGCTCCCTGGGCAGGGTGCCAATCCATCGCCATGGAACACATACAGTGGGATTTAACAATTTAGAAATGTCAGGTTGCCAAACTGCATGTCACTAGGCTGTGGGAGGACACCCACACAAACACAAGGAGGGTATGTAAACAGAGCCAGGCATGCGATTGGAACCGCGTCCGCTGGAGGTCACAGTGCTACATACTGAGCCACCCTGAAAGAGCAGTGTTTCCTAATCCGGTCCTTGAAGAACCACAGACTAACCACAGACAGTCCGTTTTTGCTTTCTCCCAGCTCCTGGTAGGGAGCAAAAATGTGCACTGTCTGGCAAGGAGCTCGGAGGGAGCAAAAACGTGGACCGTCTGTGCTTCCCCGGTAACTGGATTGGGGAACACTGCATTAGAGAAAAACACTTTGGTGTCAGCTTACTTCATCAGACCCAGATCCGAATATGAGCAAGTCGAAGGGGATGGCAGCAACCATGTCAATCAGGAACCAGCCCTTGAAGTAGTTGACGGCGATCTTTCCCGAGTGGCTGACCACCTCGTCGTTGAGGTTGACGTAGGTGGTGCGGAAGTTGATCAGGATGTCTATGATGAACATGATGTCCACTATGAGGTCCACCAGGTTCAGCGGGTTGCAGGAGTAGCCGCACTCGCGCCGTTTCTGCTCCTCCTGGTCATTGAGGAGGAAGGCAGCGGAGTAGGGAGTGAAGATGGCTGTGTAGATGACCAGCAGGAGGATGAGCCAATCCCACACGGCCTTGAAGGGGCTGTAGTGGAGTATGGTCAACCTCTCGATACGTGGCGTCTGTAATTTATATTCCGGCAACACATCTGCACCCAGCGACAGTACCTAAAATGACAGAAAGGGTAGTTTTAAGCATGTGCTCCGGGGTGTGAATAACGAATTACTAATACTCTCCTTACTGAAACCGTGTGTCTTTTTTTATACAGAATTAGTACTTTCTTATGCAGTTTAAGTTCTTTTTTCAAGAGTACATACGAAGTGCTCTGACAGCACTTTTACTCTTTATTTATTTAAGTGTGTCCAGTGTCTGCTACTTTCCCAATTTAACCGGTTTCCTAATTTAATTTTATAAGTTCATGTTGTGCTGTATTTACAACAATTTATCTTGCCAATGTCAAAGCATTTGTTCGAAAGCCTCACATCACCTAGTAGAGCAACTATTACACGTCTTATATCCAGTTTTTAGTATTGTATCCTTTGGTAAGGTGTCATACTGTAGAATTTTAAAAATAATGAATGTTGCATTTTTAAGACCCATTGAAAAACACTGCATGACATGCCACATTCACAGCAATTTATCTGGGCAGAATCAAAACATCTGTTTGTCTGATACTGGGTACTCCAGTGCGCCCCCCCCCCCACACACACACACACACACAGTCCAAAAATATGCTAAGGTATGTTAAAGTTACCAAATTGGTCATAGTTCAGTGTTTCTTGTGATGGGTCGGCACTAGGGCTGTTGCGATGACATCGATGCTGAAAATACGTCAACATCAATATTTTAAATCGACACATTTTTATTATTATTTTAATGAGGACCATTATGATTTCTAAAACCCATCATCATAAGAAATGTCTTCCATGAATATCACTACATAATTATGGGAGTAGTTCAAATTATCACAAAACAAAAAGGTGGTTTTACACTGCAGAGTTCGGTGGCACTAGCATACTACAGAAGCACTAGCGCTATGCACAAGTGCCTGAAGAGAAAACACACAGGCACTCTTCTGGACCGCCAGAATAAGCAAAAAAAAGTCTTTTGTCCTTGTAGCTGCTAAACACACTCATTATTAAAGCCATACAGTTGCCAAGTACCATAGAATCTCCACTGAATAAGTGTTTGAGAAAATGTTTTGGAAAAAATCCGGGCTTATATTAAGTGGATTGATGGTGCCAGTGTGTGTTTGTGTGCATTGGGCTCGTTAGGACCACTGTTATTATCGTAAACTAAAAGTGAAATGAAAACGCACACTATACAAAAGATGATGATCCATGAACCGAAATAAAAATGAAAACTATATTTACAAAAAGAAACTTGCTGGACTTCATCAGCAAAAGCAACACCCGCACCACCCCATGAACATCTTGCCTTGTCCATCCACAATATCTCCTTTTAGAAGATGTTGTGCTTGCTCAGCTGTCTCTTTCTTCACTTATCTCTTCCATGATTTACTAAAACAGCCGCATGTGGCCTGTCCCATTTACCGAATTTAATAAGCATAAGGATACGCTGAATTTATACAGATTACTAACTTTTGGGTGCCACAATACACATCTCATTAATATTTTAGGCATGCTACTAATTTGCTTATTGAATTGTGGGCAAAAATGATGTATAATGTAGTAATTAAACGGTCTATTTGTTTTCTGGAGAAAAATGAATCATTTCGATTAATCGACCAATCGATAACATTGTCAATAGATTAATCCATAGAAAGTTAGTGGCAGCCCTAGTTGGCACCTCATTGTGGGTTATTCCATGCTTTGTGACCATAGCTATGGAGTAAGCATTATAGTCATTGTATCAGATGATATTAAGCTTTTGCAGAGATGTTTTGATTTTTCCCAGATAAATTGCTGTGAATATGTCATGTCATACGTTGTTTTTCAATGGGTCTTAATGGGAAAAGAATGCCAATTTCAGGTGGCATTACGTTTAAGATTCTGCAGTAAAATATCTTCAGTCTCTGGATATCGTAAATGTAATACTTGAGGTATCAGATGGCATTAAACTTTCGAAAGATGTTTTGACATTGGCAAGATAAATTGCTATGAACATGTCAGAACATGCATTAAGTATACATAAGGTGGAACGGATTTTGTGAATAAAAAACTGCCAAATAAGAAACCAACTTCAGCCTCGTGCTACGAACGTTATACATTAAGTAAAGCTCCTATAGTCAATGATACCAATACTTATCTAGATTACACATGTAATTTTATTTGCAGTCAAATTTCAGCCAACTTGGATAGCTAGCTTGGTAATTCATCGTAGGCTACCACTTTTATTACTAGTCTGCTGTAACCGTGTTTCTTTGTGTGAGATACCTACTACGTTAACTTATGACACTGCAGTATAATGATAGCTTTATTTCGCTTTAATAAGATCTCTCCCAGTTTCATCGACACCCCAGAGGATTTAAAATTAATGTACTGTAGACAAAAGTGAAGGGAGACACCCTAGATAGGATGCACTGCAGATTTTATATACCCTAGATAGGATGCACTGCAGATTTTATATACCCTAGATAGGATGCACTGCAGATTTTATATACCCTAGATAGGATGCACTGCAGATTTTACATACCACAGTGCTAACACATTTACATGGGTATGGGGTAATAATTCTGGACACAATTATTGACTAACTTATGATGTTTAATATTGTTATTTGGGTAAAAACATTTTTATGCTTTATGATTTTTAGAAGATGGTGATTCTCATGCGGTTATTTTGCCATAGTGATTAAGTTAAACAGCGTATATAGCTGCTCACCCTTTGCGGTCTTCCGCATGTGAACAGAACTTGTTGCATCTGCCCGGTGGCAGTTACGGGCAGGGTACTTCCGAAGACAAACTCCCCCTGAGGGCACAATATTACTGGTGGAATCAAAGTGAAGGATGGAAAAACTGTAAAATTAATCATCTGGCATAGGGCCAAGCCTTCCATGTTGCAACGATTCATTATTCACTGGCTAATGATTTGTGGGCAAATTAATAGAAGCAGCTGAAGAGGAAAGTTCTTCATTATGACATTGTACCTGCATCTTCGTGCTTAACTTATGATTATGCATAAGACAACATTACTCTAGCTTAACAACCTAAATATCAAATATTGAAAATATTCATGCGATACACCATATGTCTCTTGACTGCCTTCCGTAACTATAGCGGATTAAACTATGTGCATTTTGTTGCACTTGCATGCATCAGTGTGCAGGGGTGCTTTTTTATAGTCTGGAGTCCTAGGGGGGATTTCGCCTGTCATTATTTGACTGATGATAATCCCCTCTTATAGGACAACCAAGCGGTCACAGTACGAGGTGATGAGGAGGTGGATAGATGCCAGTAGCAGCTAGAATGGGACATGTGACGTGTGCGGTATTTGGGGCTGTGGATTTGGGACAGCTTTCAAGGAGCATGCATTTGCACCACTATTGGGAATGGCAGATTCCTGTTGTTGTCTACTGATGCATATTGTTTAGGGGACAGCCGTATCCTAAAGCAAAAGAACACTAAAATAAAATACATACTTGCATTTACTAATATACCCATAGTAATGTGATTTGAGTGGTTTGAGGGATTATTAATAGTAACAAGAGATGGATCGATTGATCAGCTGTCAGTCGGTGTCGGCCGAAAACGTCTTCTGTATGGCAGGATTTTAAAATATCTGATGTTTGCAAATGTTTGTAAAACCTCATGTATCAGTGTGACTAGAGCAAAACAACTTGATACAACTCACTTGATAAGGCACTTCTAGAGCAAATCACGTAAAGGAGTTCAGTGAATATGGGAAGCTAATGGAGTTAGTGAAGACGGAAAAAACTAATCCAATGACCAGACAATATGTAGTACAGGGGATATTTGAACGAAACCAGAGGTACAGCAGCAACAGAGGAATCGCAGCCATGTAATGGAATTCAGTGCTATTGATAATCAGCTGTTTTCCATTGTTGAGGACACTGGATTCTGCTGTTTGGTGTTGCACATAGACCCAAATTATATTATTCCCAGTTGGAAATACTTTTTGATTATAAATGGCTTGTTTAAAGGGGCCCTATTATGCTCCTTTTCACTGTTTGTAATTTTATTTTTAGGGTTTACTTCAATAGATTTACATGCTTCAATGTTCCAAAAGCACAATTTTTTTCTAATATTGTACATCTCTATCCACTCTGCCTATAACTGCCTGTAATACTGTTAGGGCTTTAAGCCCCACCCCCAATGAGCTCCATGTGCTCTGATTGGTCAGCTTTCCCGATTGGTCAGCTTGCCCTACATGTTCCGCCCCTGTCTTGTAGTCTGCAGACAGATCCTTGCAGGTAGATGGCCAATAAGGATTGTTTTATGAGGTGACCTCACCGTGTCATGGAAGTAAGAGCTGGAATTCCAACGAGGTGTTTCAGGCATATTAGAAAAGAGTGGTTTCTGTGGTGAGAGTTACTCCCTATCAGCTTCAGAAATGTTGATCAGTCCACCTCTAATAGTAACCAAAACAGACTGGTAATTTTCCAAAGGCACTTCAAAATTGTGATCATTAGGATGATAGGTGGCATGCTGGTTAAATATCTGTATATAACTGTTTTGAGTGCAAACCTTTAAGGAATTTAATATGTCGATAATTGCATCATTCCAGGAAGTAAATAATATCCATTTGCATGTAAGCATAGTCCATTTCTCTCATTTCTCTCCCCATCACAGCACCCTGAAGAGGGCAAAATTTTGCAACTCTGTGTCATTAAGGTTTTTGTGTATTGTGTATTGTCTTCAGGTTAGATCGCTTGTCTGCTTGCACTGTGCTTTTTTCTGGACGTGTTAGTTTACAGTTAAAATTATCCCAGGTTTTCTGGAATCCCACAACGGTGGTATTCGCCTGGATTTAATGAGCTCTGCAAACGGGCTGTGAAAAGAAGCCCTTTAGCTTATAAATAGCACATTGAACACTGATGGCTCCATGTATTGCTGTGCACAGAGGAATACAACAATTTCCTCTGACTTGGCAGTTAGTCGACCGTGCATGTTTGATATCCGGTGGAAGTTACTCGGAAGTCTGATACGCTTGCTTTTCCAAAGAATGGATAAAAGTATAAAATTGAAGAAGAGTTATCGACTATTGTGATACAATCCTTGTGCCCTGTACAAAGACTGATAATATCAGAAGGATTAGACACAGAGATGGATATCTGTTTAAGTAGGGGAGGAGCATACACTGTGACATAACCATCAATGCATCAAATGAATAAATGGTGACTACTACATTAGGCAATCCTAAAAGCAGGTGGATGGCTTGATATCTCTAAATTACCCCTTACATGTGTATGTGTGCAGCCCAGGATGTGCCCTAGTACCCAGTACTTTCTGGGATAGGCTCCAGGATCACCACAACCTTGTACTGGATTGGCAGTTGTGGAAGACTGATGTCTGAATGGATCGACTGTCAAAACTTTATTACACTTTCATGCATTGATGGAGAGCTTGCGAATGACTTTTCCATATGGATGAATAATGGATGTACGGTAAAGCTTAAAAAAAAAAAAACAGCATCGAATTACTTAAAAAAAAAACACCTCATTATGATCAACATACAAAATTGTAAAAATGAAGGAAGACATCTGTTTTATTTTAGCTGGATGGAAATGAGATTAGTATTCATAAATTTACTCAAGAAGCAGTAAATAAATTCAATTTTTAACCATAGCTCTGAAATGGTAACATCTGTACGCTGCTCTTACTCCAGAGGAAATCAAATATATTTTTACTTAGGACTTTTTAGAATTGAATGGAAGCCCTAATGTGCTCATTTATTAAGATAATGTTTTTGTTGTTCACATGGGAATTAAATGGGGAATTTAAAAGCAGAGTTTATATCTCTAGTTTAAACTACATTTAAGGAGAAAGGTTAAACATATTTTCAATTGATTTCCTATTCTGAAATAAATATGACTGCAAGTTTAAAAATCATAAACTGGAGGCATCTGTGGGGGTGATTTGTGTGACTTTATCAGTGGAGTGAACTTTTTTCCAGCCGAACCAGATCACAACAAACAAATGATGATGACTGTGATCCACAGGCAATCCGCCAACGACAAGTTGTCAACCCATCCTACCTGTGTAACTTTCTCTGTAACATTGTGCGTTCGGTCCTTGACCTTTGGTGCAATTATGGTCTTCTCCGACGTCGGAGGGGAAGCCATCTTCTTCTCGTTGTTTGCTTCGGAGAAGTTGAGCGTAATAAGTGGGATTTTGTTGATGGTGCTGTACTTATTGAGGTTGGAATCTGACGTAGAGCCTAGTAGGCTTGATTTTAGATGGTTGAATGGACCTAGACATGTAAAACAGACAGATATGCAATCGAGCAAATTATTCAGTGCTACCAAATATAACCATACATTTTTTTTCTTTTCGAACGGCTAAACACTGAAAGTGATGTCGTTCTCTGTTGGAATGTATGATTTCTAACTCATTTGCATTTATCATCTGAGAAGATTCATTGCTAAAAAGGTCCTAATATGTCAGAATCAATGTCTGTATGATAATTTATAAATACTTTGGATGATTTCAGTTGTTCTTTCTTTTTCTAAAGTTCATCTATTTGGTTCCAGCAAGAAACAAACAACCTGTAGATGCCATAATACACCCATTTCTCACTGCTAGAATCCAGACATCATTTGCACAGCAACACTGAGAGATTTGCGGCTGTTGTGAAGCATGTGTGCATTTTCTATGAAGAAAAAAACGCCATGGCACAAATGTAAATGACTTTTACACAATATCACCACACACTGTGATCTTAAGTATAAGTGAAGGTGAGGTTTTGACAGCAGCTGACTGGCAGATAATCTCTACTGTAATACATCTTTATGGAAAAGCTAGTCTAGATGGTAAGTGGGAGGAAGATCCATGTAATTTCCCTCGCTGAGTCACAAAGACTTCAGCAGCTTCTTTGGTAGATGGTAAGGTGAGTTTGCATGGCAGAGAGTCTCAGTACATGACATGAAACAAAGAAGGGATTTTTTTTTATGTTCATGCCTTTATGCTGGGTGACAGAGCCACAAAACTCACACTCATTCATCTCCAGTACCGGCGACAAAAAAAATTCACAAATCTAGAAATAAACACAGCGAGCCTTTAATGGGTGCCTTCCTTATCTGTGACGGTTGACACTAAGGGTAAAATGGCACATGCAGGGAGTTATTCCCCTGTCATGCACGCGTGGCACGCGGTTACCTTTCACATTCTGACCGTCGTCTGACGAGCAGCCTTGTAACCGTGAAAGGAGCAAAGGGTGGAGAAGAAATGAATTTCCAACAAGAGCAATGAAAGATTATTTTATGCCATGTAAATGTACAAGACTATAATCCCACTGGACAGCAGGTATAACAGTGCAATGCATTGTGGGTGTTAATTACTCTCTGCAATCTAAAGATTAATTACATCAACTGGGCTGTGCTACTGACTATTAAGGTTCTATACTATATTAAGATTTTAAGTCACATAGACACTATGGGTTATAAAATGTACTTATTTGGAAAGTGTTAAAAATGGGTACCTTCACTTGGATGACGGTCCCTGAATGCACTCTTGGTGCTGGACCTGAAGGCCTCGATGTCCTGGACAGAGGACGCCCGTCTCATGCTGTAGAGACTATCCCGCAGTGTACCCTGGGCTAGGAAGGTGATGGCCTGGGGAGGGTCAGGGTATAATCGGTCCCACTGCCACTTGGGGGAGGAGTGATCAAGGGGCCCTGAGACATTGACGGGCGTCAGACACCGGCTTGAGCCGATGAGGGCCCTGGTGTCGTCCACTTCCGAGGGGCTGCAGCTCTCTTTGGTGGGGGACTTTAAATCCCTCATTGTGATGGATTCGTCGCTCCGTTTGGGGAGATCTATCATCACAGCATCCGGATCCTCCTGAGGAAGCGACTGCTTGCTGCTGCCCAGTAGGTTCAAGGCTGGTAGTCGTAACCGGAAAAATCTTCCCTTTTCTATGGAGAAGAGGAGGAAAATTTTACCCCCCCGAATTCCTCATTATGGGGATGTCATGAAAGTAAAACGATCAATTGATCACTTGCCACTTTGATAACACCATTAACAAAATTTGAAAACCACCAAAATGGAAACAGCTGAATTTATTGTGCACCCATATGAAAAATGCTGAACCGTGGAATGCTTGGAAGGACTACCAGAAGGAGACCATCACTCTCCAAATACATTCCCATCCCATAAATGATTTGGAAAGCTACTGGATGTATTTGAGATAAAAGTAGAATTTCATGTAATAAATAAGAAATATAAATAAATGAATAAATGCAGGTCCATAAGAACATCATGCAGTCTATTATACTATTTTGCCAATTTGCAATAATAGTACCTCTTAATCATTGAAAGAACAATAAACTGACTTCTGGATTATACCAGAAAAATGTTCAAGTGAATAGTAGGGTATCTGCTTGAGAGCTGAAGCTAAACAGAGATCGAGTTACACAAGATGGCAATCCTAAACATACAAGTAAATCTGCAAAAGAGTTTCTGAGACAGAAGGAATTTAATGCTTTGGACTGGCCAAGACAGTGTGCCAAGCTCAGCCTGTCTAACGTGCTGTGGAATAAGCTGAAGAAAGGAAATCTGAGTTTGTTAGAGCAGTTCTCCAAGGAAGAAAGAGCCAAAATACCTACAAATCAATGAGCACTATTGCTTAACAGGAAGAGGATATTTGTTTGAGGTCATTACTGCTAAAGGCACTGCTGTCAGTAGCTCAGTGTAAAGGTTCATGCACGTTTGATGCTATGAGATCAGGGTTTTCAATAGTGATCATGTGATCAGATCATGTGATCAGATCATGTTCAGGTTAAATAACGCAAATTATTCTGAAGGGTTGACAAAATTTCTCTTACTACTCTACACATATATTTTAAAATAGGATAGCTTTTTATTATTTGCATTTGTATTATTTAAATGGACAAAGTCAGTTATTCTCCCTGCTTGCACAAATAGCTTACATGATACAATCTATCATTTAAAATTCATTTTAGTTGCTTCACCGTCTTATTTTCAGTTTATCTGGTTCTCTCAAAACTGTGTTTGTCTGCTGAACTTAATTAGAGGCTCCACAGTGTTATTTTTAAGCATGACTTGATCAAACAAATCTGACGTTCACTCGGTATTTTTTTCCCCTCTTTGAAGTCTGTTGAATAATTTATTTAGATGACATTTGCTAAAAGTTTATTGACTGAATGTTACGTGAATGCTTGTCCACCTTGGACAAATATTATAGGGCAAAGCAATTTGTGCTATAAAATAATACTTATAAGACGCTCTGAATGTCTGGTGTGTGGAAAAACATTAATTTTTGGTGTGTACAAAGGTATAAAAAGGACTATGAGCTAATCACCCTTGGGGCATAGTAATGTCTATTCAGACCATCATGAATGCAATTTTGCTGTATTTATACTGGGCCTTTGCAGTTAAGATGGAAAAATAATTATTCAATTTCAGATCAATTACTTCTTAATATGGTAGAACTGTATCCTCTCTCTTAGATTCCGCATTTCTTTCCTGCTGTAGACGTGGGTCCCTGCAGCTCCTGTGTTCTCCCTCTATGTGTGTAGGTTTAGATGAAACGTTATCCCCAAACTACCGTTACTGTGTGCGTCTGTTCTCTGTACTATATTTTGATCCTGTCTGGAGAGTTCCCTGCCTCATGCCCTATGCTACCTGGGATGGACTCCAGGATCACTACAGACTCACACTGGATGAGCACTGCGGAGGGAAAAATGTTTCTTTATATTAGTGTTCCAACAACTAATAAAAATAAAAAAATAGCCGACAACGAGTTTTGTCGTTGGTTGCATTTTCACAGGTTGCTGCGTACACTGGGCATGGAGACGTCACCACTTTCATTTTTCCGCGTGCTGTTACTCTTCTGTACGTACTTCATTTGTCTGTGGACGCAGACGGTCGCGCACATGTCTACAGCAAGGGCAGATGCATTGCACCGAACACGTACAAGTACCGTAGTGAAATGGGTAAACTTTTTGAATAGTTTTAAAGTTGAGCTCTCCACGGTATTTTGAAATCTTGCCAACAAAATAAGCCGTCCCCCCCCCTCCCTATTCTGGCCAATTTTATTGCCAAGATTTCAGAATAGCACAGTAGCGTTGCTTTTGAAACTGCTGTACACTGCTGTATGAAGTATAATTGTTGGCAAGCTTAATATGGAGGGGACAGTTGGTCTTTGTTTATATGCCACTTTGTCATGCTAAACAGAGATTCTGTACACAGCATAAAGGTTATATTACAGCTGTGACTTAAAAATATCTTTTTTTTTTTAAGCATTTGCACTTTTGTTTAAACTCTGTGTTTTGGCCCAACTAATTGACATTAAAAACAAGCCATATCTGTTTTGTTTGGTTCCTTATTCCTTGTTTGCTTAGTTTTCCTTGTTGAACCTTTAGTGTTTGTTAATTTTCCCTTAGTCTCCAATGCTGTTTAGCTGTAATATGACACACTCGTTCCTTGTTTGCCCTGAATCCTTGTGAGTGGTTAACTGGCTATGATTCTCACCTGTCCTGTATTGTCTTGTTAGCTGTATATTTAAGTACCTCTTCTTGTTCTTTTCTTTGAGAGTTCATTGTAGTTGAATGTGGTTGATGCTACTTCCTGTCTGGTTGTCACGCTGTTCTGGTGCTTAGTCCTGCTCCCTATGTTGCTCAGTTCCTCAGTGTATTTGCTTTATGATTTCTTTGTTACATTTTTTTTTTCTCCCATTTTGTTTTGAACCATTGCAGACTTTTGATCTTGAGCCTTCCCTCTTGTGTTCAGTTTTGCCTAATAAACCCCTTCGGTCTCAGAGCTGCAAGTGGATCGTCTACCTTTTTTCTGCCTGCACAAATACCCCACTGTGACATTCTGTATATATACAATACGGACACTATATGGAAAGTATGGGGACACACTTGCATTCAGGTGTTTCTTTTAGACCCATTGCCACAGGTGTATAAAATCAAAGACCTAGACATGCAGTCAGGTTTGCAAACATTTGTGAAAGAATGAGTCATCCTGAAGGACTCAGTGCATTGAAGCATGGTGCTGTCATAGGATGCCACCTCTGCGATAAGTCAGTTTGTGAAATTTCTTCCTTGCTAGATATTCCCCAGTCAAGTATAAGTGGTATAATTGCAAATTGGAAGCCTTTAGGAACAACAGAAACTCAGCCATGAAGTGGCAAACCATGTAAAGCAACAGACCGGGGTCCCCGAGTGCTAAGGCACACAGCGCATAAAAGTCACTAACGCTCTGTCGACTTGATAACTGCAGAGTTCCAAACTTCCTCTGGCATTAACCCCAGCAAAAAAACTGTGCGGGGAGCTTCATGGAATGGGCTTCCATGGCCGAGCAGCCGCATGCAAGCCTCACATCACCGAGCGCAATGCCAAGCGTCAGATGGAGTGGTGTAAAGCACGGTGCCACTGGACTCTGGAGCAGTGGAAATGTGGTTTGTGTAGTAACAAATCACGCTTCTCTGTCTGGCAGTCTGATGGACGAGTCTGGGTTTTGTGGATGCCAGGAGAACTTTACCTGCCTGACTGCGTTGCGCTAATTGTGAAGTTGGTTGGAGGAGGGATAATGGTATGGGGTAGTTTTTCAGAGGGTGGGCTAGGCCCCATAATTCCAAGGAAAATAACTCTTAATGCATCAACATACCAAGACATTTTGGACAATTCTATCGTTCCAATATCATGGGAACAGTCTGGGGGAGGCCCTTTTCTGTTCCCCGCATGACTGAGTCCCAGTGTACAAAGCAAGGTCCATAAAGACATGATTGGCGAGTTTGGTGTGGAAGAACCTGACTGGCCTGCACAGAGTTCTGACCTCAACCCCACTGAACACCTTTGGGATGAACTGGAACAGAGATTGCCAGCCAGGCTTTCACATCCAACATCAGTGCCTGACCTCACAAATGCTCTTCTGGATGCCAACTCCATATTGATGCCTATGGATTTAGAATGGGACGTCATTAAAATGCCCGCAAGTGTAATGTCCAGGTGTCCCCATACTTTTGTCCATATAGCGCAGTTTACCGTAAAAGATACATCCAATCCTTAGTTCACATCTGTCTACTAGGTATGAATAATGTGCCTCACTTTGGACAATAGAATGAGCTGAAAAAATGAATGCAAGTGTAAATCGATGATGCAAAGGCTTTGTCATACTTTGGGGCTGCCTTGCAGCCCAGATGGGTGGAAATCATAGAAGGATTAAGGAACAATTACTGTGTGTTGTGACACATCACTCCCATAACCATCATTAAAATTATTTGCAATTTGTGCCACAGCAGGACTTCTGTTGGTTTGTGCCAAATGAGCCAGCATTAGTTTACATCTTGCATCGGACAAGTCATGGACACCCAAAACCCTGTCAGCAGATGGTGGTTTTTCCCTTCTTGGACCACAGTCGGTAGGTACTCGCGACTGCGGACCATGTGCACCCCTCAAGCCTTACCGATTCTCAGGTGCTCTGGCTCGATTGTCTGGCTATAATGATTTGGCTCTTATCAAAGTCACTCAGATCTTTAACCCTGCCCCTTTCTGCACTGAACAGGTGAAATCCAGGTAGCAAATGTTAGCGTTCATCTAATAAATGTCTTGTCATGTGTTGCTTTTATGAGATAATTGATTTTATTTCCTTCAGGGGGGGGTGACAATGTTTTCGTTCTTCAGTGTATATATAGAAATACTACATATCTGTGTATATCCTGTTGTCATGATTGTTTATCACTTATCGTTGTTGGTTTTTTTATATCAGACTGCTGAGGAAACCTATGTATAAACTAGTTGAGATATAAACGATTGTAGGTGACGTCACTTTGGACTATCGGAACTATCTAAGCACCGTCTGTCTCATGCTCTTGCCCCTTTAATTCATACGGGCAACACAGACAGAGCGACCTGCCAGGATAAGAACGGCGCATTCATTACTGGAGACAAAAAAAAAACCAAAAAAACGCACAGCTCTCGCAGCTGTCAGGCGAAAACTTGAAACCCCGTGATACAGGAATGACATCTGTTGTGAAACACAGTATCACTCTGTAAGCGTGACTGCCCAACAGGCTATACATTTCAAGTGGAAAGTCTTTCGTTTTCACCCGTGGTGCTCCCAACACGATGGCTGTAAAATAACGTTAGGGAGTAAACGAGTCTGGCAGCCGGACGGCAGTCACTAATCTGCTATCCAGTCCCTATTTCAGGTCCTGCTAACAGAAGCCAACCAGAAAGCCTGATTAGTGACAGTTATTCCCGCAAACCCCAACCTAACAGCATGACCCACTGTGTTTCCAAAATGACGATTTGGGATTTTTTCCCCCCCTACAGGATGTGCGGCTACTCAGTGGCTGCTAATTGTGTTACATTTGCAAGATACAAGGGCACTCCAGAATAAACTGCAAGTCATCTGGCCAATTTGGTCTTTGCCGCCATTTTTCCATCTGCCTTTCTGTTATTTATGTGGAGTTTTCATTTGTCGGTGCTACAGGTCCTGTAGCCATCATTGGCTGATGCCATTATTGTTTGCTAATGTCACCGTACGCTGACAGTCTGCTACATATGACAATTTCGGATTTGAAGCGCATACCACACCACTGCACCACCTGCAGTGGGTCAAGGGACCATCTCTGCACATGAACGTTTGTGCAACACCAGTCACATGAGTGTAGATTGATTTAATTTGCGTAGCTTTTCCGCTGTTTTTGTGCAACTTCATCTGGAATACAAGTGCAAAAATATCCTTTCATACTTGCATGTACATTCATAGCACTACCATCGCACCCATAAAGTGTTTAATTTTATACCCAAAAACAAAAAAAAAAAATCAGCAATCATTTCCTGCAAACGCATTAATTTTTCATTTCCATACAGTAGCTATCAATCCCTCTGCTGTAAATCAGTAAGAAAGCATGAAAACAGCTATATAAATAACCCATTTTAATTAAACACATTAAATAAAGGCACTGAATGTACCAGTGTGAATGAAGCACAGTGAAACCCAGAGCTTTTCTTAGCCACACTGGTGTATATAAATTAAATAAATGAGCTTCCTTATCTTGTTATATAAAGTGTGCCCAGTGATGAGGCTCCCTAAGCATATAGCATTACTCTCTCTCAGCCCTTTTGTATGCTGGTATCTCCAGGCACAATGAAATGAGATTTTTTTTTTTTTAATTGGACGACAGTTTCTGCAGGAAACAGTAAGCCATACGTGTTAAATGTATGCAAAATATGGATACAATTGCTAATTAATTCAAATACATCACAATAAAATGAATAAACCTGAGTTTGGCTTTTGAATGGAATGTAAGGGGGAACTCAGTCTGTGTAGTTACAACCATTCTTGCTTGTTGGAGTTGGGCAGAATATATATTTTCCCATGGATTGACTATGAGGGGTTGTGTGTGGCTCAGTGGATTAAGCCTCTGTGCCTGTGATTGTTGGTTGTTGGTTCAAGCCCTACCCTTAACCCCCCCCCCCCCCCCCCCAATGCTACAGAGGTGCACACCATATTCACATTCTATATTAATGGCATCTCTGTCCCCATGTGTCACCTACTAGGTTTTCATTGGCATAGAACAAGGGAGAAATTACTGATCACTTGTCCATTGTATTGCCACTGTGGTTAAGCTTCGTTTTTTAAATTTGTACATCAGTGGTTGGTTTATGAATCATGGCAATTACTGCTTCTGTGGCTGTGGATTTACCATGTGCATTTGTTAGCAGACAGACAGGAGTCCAACTAGACTTCTGTAGATTTGGGCTGGGTTAATGAACCACAGCTAGAATCACCTAAATTGGTTGTTACAGCTCGAACCAGTTGCGGCTGCCATATGCCAGCGTATAAAGATTATGGGATGTGGGAGAAGAGCAGAGCATACCTGGGGGGAATTTTTTTATTGCTGCTGCTGATCTCAAGAGACTTGGCAGTTTTAGGCGTTTTGGTGCCAATGTGCTGAAAACTCCTGCTGAGGGACGAATGACAAACCATAGGAGGCCCTAAGGGGAGCTGAAGCAGCATTTCAGAGACTCTGCCTACGACCTGCTTTTCTGGTTACTCAGGTCACCTGGACGGACGCCGCCTCATGGGTGGCCGACTGCACTTGCTAAGTATAGAGTTGTCTGAAAAGTTATGCTGGGATTTAGAAGTTTCCTTTTATTTTAGAGGTTTGCACACTGGGACCATGTGGACGGACCGGCCGGCACCCAATGGAACGGCAGATCCAGTCCCCACTGCAGATGGAGCTGGTTGAACACTGATATTTTGACATCACCCTCAAAACGATGATGATATTTATTTCCCTGTTGTTGCTGGTTTTGTGTTGTGTTGACCTGGTGTTTGTTTGGCACCTCAGACTGCAGTAGATCCAGGTTTCTGTTGGGACATCAAATAATATTATTTTGGGCTTCCTGATTTTTAATTTTTTTTTTTATGATCTTTTAGGTCAGGTTTCCTGGTCTAAGTCTGGTCCCGGACACCTACTATCCGGTAGGTTTTGTATCCTTCCTGGCTTCTGATGAGTCACACTAGTTCTCAGGTAAATACCAGGAACAGTGCAGCTCATCAGAAGCCGGTCAGGATAGAAAACCTACTGGATAGTAGGTCTCCAAGACTGGAGTTGGAGTGTTTAGTTTGGTAATAATTATGTTATTGTTTTAAAGTTCTTATTACTTATTTAATACTTAAATTTCTAACTACACTGTGCAGCAACTTTTGTTTCAAAATATCTCTGTCCTGGCCCCAAAGTTTGTGGGAATAGCCATCTTCTATACATATGAGGCATAAGAAATGAAAAAATAACACTTATTGCTCAGGAACAACAAGAAGAAAAACTGGTACATGACGTTATATAACAAAGAGAGTTTTTATGTTGGTGAGTCTTCTGGTTGTGCTGTGGGATCTGTACTTATTAGGGTGGGGGTTGGACACACATACCAAACTGTGTAGTTTGAACTATGGTCAAATACTCGGTGCCAATAATTGAATTGTTGCTGGAGCAAAACAGGCACTAGAGCTCGAGTGGGTAAACGTGACCTGATATGGATGGCAACTTTCGGCATTTTTTTCAGGGGTCGCTGGTTATGCCAGACCATGTGCGAAGGTGCATAGTGTTTGAGCGCTAAATCCAAGCATGTTTGGAGACCAGATAGTGCTTGTGATTATGTTCTAGGTGTGTGTTTTTCCATAGTAAGATGAAACCGGGTATTTGATGGAACATTCCATAAGGTGGATAATGGTGAAGCCATTACTTTGAAATTTATATTTAGGAACATACCAAAGGTTTATTATTTTAATCATTAGTGACAATGAGATCAGGGCTCTTACAAAAAAGTATAATAAAGACAACATATGACTTAAAGTAAAAATTGCTTGAAGCAGTTTTGCTTAGCTGTCATTTTCATTATCCATTATAATCTCACATGAATTATTTAAATTGATAAATTATTCCCAGCATAATTATATTTTGAGTAATAGCAGCATGCGTCAAATCATAGAGAAGTATAGTACAAAAGAATGTAAAGATAATCAGAAATAATTTCCTTGCATATATGTGTTTAATAATGTCAAGATGTAACATGATAAGTCTTGAATTACCCAAATCCTGTCAGACAAGTTTTCAGACATATTCAGGTCACTGTTTATAGTTTGCAGGTGATAAAAGTTTCCAATATTTTTCCCCCCACTCATGCTATTAGATAACTATTTTTGCCCTAACATTTCTGTATCAGGCTTTATGATCGAGGACCCCAGACTTGTCTGGATGTGCCAAGTGAAGGTCTGTACTTCTCAAATGCTGTCCTTTCTGAGCGATTTATTCCCTTTATAACAGGGAACACTCACCCTGGCTGGATGAGTAGAGTATGATGCACTCTGGACAATCTGGACACCCCTGATATCAACTTCCACTGTCTGCTGTAGATCTATTTACTGTTATAGTGACATTCTAGTCATCCGTTCTTCTGGCTTTAAGGAACAGATGAAAAAAAGATTCAATATGGAAGAGGGGAGAAGAGTTCTGTGCTGGCTACTCACTGTGGTCAGATTTGGGTGGAGTTGTTTGGCCCAGCTTCTCCAGAGAGTCGCTGCTTCCCTCGTCCAGCATGTAATCAAAATTTAGGATGAACATCATCGCCACACCTTCCTCGTTCTTCACCGGGATTATGTGAATGTTGCACAGGAAGTCGGATCCTGCAAGAAGATACATGGCTTTGTCATTTCCTGTGTGTTTGTTACAGGAAATACCTTCAAGCAGCTTAATTAGTCTTACTGGAGAGCTGTGAACCTTATGAAAAGCTGCCTCTCGTTTGCGATGCAGCGATTGAATTCAGAGCACCGGAAACATCTGGTTGTTTGTGTAGCACATTGTTAAGTGATGTTCAGGTAAAAATGGATGTTCACAGAGTGCCCTAGTACCCCCAATACCCATAAACACTGAAAGATATTAGGAAGAGTAAAACACTTATAATTTAACTATTTAAAGGTTATCCTTTACTGCTTACTCATGCTTGTCCTTAATTACTGTTTCCATTTATTGAAAATGTTCAGTGTGGCAAAGTATTAGTATGTAATATACTGTAGCTACGCTTAAATACAGTATAGCTGTAATAATTTTATATAGCAGGTCTTTCTGAGTGAGTATGTGTTGCACCTGGATGTACTTCAACCACAGCTGCACCTATCCAGTTAAATACGTTGCTGTAAAACTCAACGTGCAATAACGCTTTGTGGCAAATTAAAAGCAGAACATTTAGCACTTGAGAGTACTGCTCACAAACCGTTATATCCAAATACCGCTCAGTGTCATGTTAAAAAACAACTCAAACAAGAACAAATCGTTTAGCCTCAGGCACGCCTGAAAGCTGAGTGTTCTTGCTGTTCAAAATGCCAAAAATATATACCAGGTTCCCCTAAAAACATTCTGTGTTTCTCAGTCAAGACGTCGACATTAAGCCCGGCTAGCAATCATCTTGACTTGAAAACTGATATGAGAGTTCAACTCTTACCTGTGTTTTATTAATGATCACACACCACACATGACTATGCACCTGACCCATAAAGGAGGAAAAACATCTATATTAAGCATTTCATCTTAAGACTTCACTGATCTTTAGATGAATGCTTAGATGCTTGCTGTCAAAACTACTTATAGCTTAATAGCCAGACCAAAGCAGCAGAGGGCAACCAGCCAGAGTGTTTTAGAGAGGGTGAGTGGTATGAGTTTAGTATCTATCAAGAACAATAACAACAATGCTACAATGAAACAACATGCATTTCTCTATAACAATCAATTTTTTTGCCTGCTACATGAAGAACTACAGCTGCCTATGTAATACATTGGAAGCAGTAAAACAGTGCTTTAGTTTTTGTTAGGCTTAGCTAAGATAAGTACTATTTTTATAATTATATTATTGTTATTGTTGTTTATTATTAGATACAGTCAAGTCATTGTGGACTCCTGCTTGACCGTATGAGGGCATTTCTCCAAAATATCCTATCTTCCATCTGGATCTTCTGGCTTCCCAATGGCACTACTTGTATGACATGGAAATTAGTGCAGTAATTTGTTTGTGATACTATAATTAAAAAGAGAATATTCATAACTTTTTCTAGTTTTTTCATAACTTCATGTGCAGGGAGCTGATTATAGCAACATGGAATAATGCTTGCTTGTTCATTAGGCTGCTCTTGTGCAGATAAAGCAGAAGGAGAAGTGATTGGAAGAAAAAGAATCACACGGGTCTGTGCATCAGTCATCTGAATTGCAGTGTTATGTACCCTGTCCTACATGCGAGAAAAACTGCCATGTGACATAGATGATTTCTCAGGACTGTATCACGTCCTACTACATTAGCGCTGCCGTCTGATGGAAGGAGGGCTCTCAGACCAGAGCTGGAAAACATGGCCTGCACCATGATGGAACCAAAGCACCCTCTTACAGTTAAGACCAGGTACTTAGAGGGGAGAAATATACCTCAGAGATTCGTATCTTTCTGAAAATAACTACTACTTAGAAGTCTTAGAAGTTTCTTGCATCAAAAGAGCCACAAATAGGCCTCTTCGGGTATGATGAACTGTCCTTGCCTGGTGATGTCGCTGAACTGACCTTTCAATGATGCAATATGGTCACAACAGGCATTTAGTACTACAGCAAGTGTAGCTTAGCTGTCACACCTGATAGGCCGATTTAAAGCTGGTGTACGGGGGAGAATTCTCCTCCATAATCTGTTGTTACTCCTCAGGGTGACACTGCCTTCAAGACAAAGTTCTAGTGATATCAGTGAGTCCACAGCACTAAAGATAAGATGGGTATTATGCAGCCATGAAATATACGGTACATATTTCTGGGTAGAGAAGGAGAATAAATAAAGTCAGGATATCCATCTTCCGTGATTTATCCAGTCCAGGGTTGTGGTGAGCCTAAGGCTCGTCCCAAGCAGCAAGTCAGGGGACGCCCTGGACAGGACGCCATTATTATGAAACGAAAGTGTGCAATCTACATTCATAACACATTTTCTTCAGAATGTACTCAGAATCTCAGGAGTGTCTCCTTATTTATTTTTCTCGGTTTTCCATAAAAAAAAATATGACCCCTTTGTTCCCCTTCAGGGAGAACATTTATGCGTAAGAAGAGAATGGAATAAAAGTCTCCCAGCACCTCACATGCAAATTTCCCCTTTCCCCCACCAAGGACACATATTAACAGGGCTCATAAGTGGCTTCTCACATCCAGACTGGCAGCTGCATTAATTAGCAGAATGTTTCCCATTGGACTATATATAACAAGCAAGTGGCAGGTTTTGTGTGGAAAAACTCCTGTAACTCTGGGGGTGTCCTTCAATTTCTGGAATGTTCTGCAATTAGCCAACATGACCCTGTCCCCAAAAGACGTCCAGTCGTCTTTGCCCTGTGAGCTGTGTGTATATGTGCGCATCTGTGTTTACTAGTCCGCACTATTTTCACGTTCATTCCAATGACTCAACGTTTTCCAGATGTGAGCCTGCCCTCACCCAGCATGCAGCGTTGCGGAAAAACCGCCGCATGTGACCGTGCAAGGCTGCCATGTCTTTAAAGCCTCCCCGTGCTGGCCGTGCGGCTGGGCGAGCGCCGTGGTGTCAGATAAGCCGTTTGGCTCCAAATTCTGGATTTCAAGCACTATGCTGCTTATCTTCATTGGTGGAGATAAAAATATATATATTTTAAATTAACTTAAAATGCACTAGGAATTTCAGTGTGTTCAATTAAGAGAAACATTTATTTAAATGAACTGTAACATTTATAAGTGAAATATTTGGTTATTATATAACAGTGAAAATTATATCGCGTTTTGGTCAGAACTGGCTTTAAATTACTTCACACCCTGCGACCCTGTTCTGGGTAAGTGGCTGGAAAAGAAATAGATGAATTCTTAGCTGATTTCCTAATTTCCTGCCCATGTAGGAAACTATTGATGATCAGATTAGTAAACCAAAATGGACCTCCAGCTGCAGGTTACAGAGCAGGTTCCCAGTACAGAGAGAAAAGAAGGTCACTATATTATTATGGCCCGACTGGATTTGGCTATTTAATCAAACCCAGAATTTTCTTTCAAGGTTTTGGAAATGGAGATACAAATAATACAGTATTATGCTATTACTTATATATTAATTAACCACAAACGTCTTAGTTACAAACTGATCTCATATTAATTCATCATTAATGAATCTTGACATTAATCTCAAGCAATCTGTTTGTTACTATATTAATTCTGTAAACCGGTGTGAACTAATGAAGGACCTACTAAGGAACTACTCAAGGAACTAGTCATGTATAACACAAGTGAAATACTGATCTGTTCATCATTAATGAATCATGACACATCTATTATCTCAAGTAACCGTATTTGTTCATGATTTGTACTTTGTACTTGAGTTATGTATAAGTATTTGTGCCTTGTGAAATAAACCGTTACCAGTTTTTTTTCCTGAAAGAATAGGTTTGGATTATCTTGCATGAACACTAAGGATGGTTTCTCAATGGCCATTTCAAGTCCATTTTAGCACCATAGTTGAATGTAGGAGTGAAATTTCAAAAGAGCTTTAGGGAAACTTGTAGAGAAAAAGCAGATTTTCCACAGATGCTTTATAACATCCTACAGTTTCTCTTAACCTGCAATGCAAAACAGCTAATTTCATATATCCTTAAATATGGTTTGTATCATATAAGATTCATGTACCTTATATAACTAATATTTATAAAGCACAAATACAAGACCGTGCTGAAAAGAACCCATAAAAGAGAGGAAATGAAAGATTGTTTGCAGACTGTTGCAATTGTGCAGTGTATTCTTTGGGGATGCCCTTCATTGTGCTAGAATAAAGTGTACAATTAAAAGTTACTCAAAATCAAGTTATCTGTGTGTTTCAGCAAATATGAACATCAGATTTTCTGAGCCTTTCTGTTTCTATGAATTGCACCAAATTCATGAATCGAAGCAGTTGCACTGTACTCTTGGATTAAGGTTTTGCAAACACTGGTGTAGAGAATTACTTCTTCAGCTTCTCCAACACACTAACCAGCAAAGGGGCCATCAGTGTTTCCGTGATCCTCAGAAAGCACCAGTGCAGTCCTGCCAATTTCCAACTGGATCCCAGAGAGCTGGATGTTGTACAACTGGGATGTTCCCCTCACTGGCCCCCATCACTGCTAGCCAACACCCTTGCGGCAGCTGTGCACATCTAGGCAGAGGTTTTGGCAATTGAGGCATTTAGATGCCTGTTTCCAGCTAGAATGTGACCACCGGTCAATACGTCCATTCTGAGGCTCAAAGTAAACCAGTCACTCAGACTGCTTATTCCTGCATTAGATCGTTTAACATAAATAAATAAAGACAATCCTCTTCAATAGAGAATCAATTAAGAAGCATGAAGAGTGAACTTGAAATGAAGCAAAAGTGAAGTGGTCTCTGAATTGTTCATAGTTTATGATTGTGTGTGAGTGTGTTTCCTCTAATGGACTAACCGCTCATCCACCCACAATGCCTGGGCTTCCTGGGATGGGCTATAAACACCACAGCTCTGTAATGGATAGGGGGATATAGAAGATGCTGATGAAACAAAACTATTTATATATATGAATAGATATACATAGTGAATGCCCCTCTTTCCAAATGTAATTGATTAGGTTGATCCCAGTGCGGCTCTAAACTGTTG